ATACTTTGTTAGCCCCCTTTTACCCTGTTCTTTAATAGTCAGGACCCCCACAGGACCACTACAGAGCAGGGATTATTTGGCTGGTGGATCATTCTCAACACTGCCGTGACGCTGACATGGTGTTGGCGTGTTAGTGTGTGTTGTGCTGGTGCGAGTGGGTAAGACACAGCAGTGCTGCTGGACTGAGAACAGTCCAGCCAGCAGTGTCTTGTGACCACTGATGAAGGACTAGAGGATGACCAGCACAAACTGTGCAGCAGCAGATGAGCTATCGTCTCTGACTTTACATCTACAAGGTGGACCAACAGGGTAGGAGTGTCTAATAGAGTGGACAGTGAGTGGACACAGTGTTTAAAACTCCAGCAGCACTGCTGTGTCTGATCCAATCGTACCAGTGTAACACACTAACACATCACCACCACGTCAGTCGGAACAAAACATCACTGCTGTCGGAACAAAACCTTGTATCTCCATTTTTGTCGTTGTTCAGTTTTTGACATCATTTAAAAACGTCTGTTGTTCTTTGCATTGTGTGAAAATTTCATGATGAATGGACAAAAAGAAACGTCCCAAAATGACTTGGTAAAACGTCTGGTTCCATTGACTTACATTAAAAGTAAAGTATGTTTTTTCCTTCTCCTGTAAAGTTACCATTTTGGAGATACAAGATTTTGTTTCAACAGCAGCGATATTTATATATATATATATATAGGAAGAGAGAGGAAGAGAGAGAGAATGAAGAAAGGAATGAAGAGCTACAATTTGGACCTGCTGAGAGTTATTAGAGAGCTTTGGTTGCTGTGGAAACAGAGCATCCACTAAAAGAAACAAAGAAAAGTGTGTGTGTGTGTCACACACACACACATACACACACACACACACACACACACATCCTTTTATCCTTCTGATGAGCTGATAAAATATTAAAACTCTTCTAAGAGACAGACCTGTGAGCATCGCTTTGTGTTTGCAGTGTGTTTGTGTTTCTCACCAACGTCCTCCTTTATTATCCTTCCTCACCGGTAACTGACATGCGGCTCATCACTCACAACAACGTACTCACACACACCGATACCAAGTCTGTCTATCCTAACTACTCAACTGGTGTCTATAAATCCTGATATTTATAGAATTCCACTGTCCACCTTATTGTTCATGTGAGCACTGTGTTTAGAGATTGTGGTTATGGTTATGATTATATTGTTTGATGTCCTATTAAACGTCTCTGAAGCGTTTCTGTAACAATGTGCAGTTTGCAGCTCTCATTACAGCTGAGTGAACCTGAAACTGTAGCAAGAATGAGAATCTCATAAGCGTAAAACGTAAAAGAAAAAGAAAGTGCAGCGCTTTGAAGGGCATGAACGTGGCTTCATAATCACCGCTTGAAAAGCTGTTATTGTTGAAATGCGTGCAAGTAAAATCCAACCAAATTGAGAATTTCCAGGTGAACATTACAGGTTACTGCTAACAGACTCTCTTTAACTGGTTTACACATTATATTCTCTGTGTATATTCTGCCTTCACTAGAGTTGACTGAGCAGGTTAGCGGAGAGCTAACAGGCTAAAATCTCTAACTATGCGGCAGCACTGGTGCGGATGCCAAGCAGGAACTTGGAGACTTTTTAAGAGAGGCTGGTGACAGTAATGAGGAAATTAGGATTTCTCCTGCTCTTTGTGCTTCTTAAAAGTAGCAGCAAACACAACAGCTCCTCTTCCTCAAACAGCAGATCTTCACCCAATGCATTCATTCTCTGATAAACAGTTTGTCTTCCTCTGCCTCTTTGCACAGTTCACAGGGATTTTTCACACAGGGCCACCTAACAAATAGGAGAATACCATTGTGCTTTGGGTAAGTGACTCAAGTCAGTATAAAACGTTTGTCGCAAGGAACATTAATATATCAACATATATGGCATATTTACCGTAACACTGCTGTCAGAACAAAACCTCATATTTCCATAATGGTAACTTTACAGGAGAAGGAAAAAACATACTTGCAGAACTGACTCTGTGTGTTTTTCCTTTCTTTCCTTTGCTGAGTTGAACAGCTGCCCATCCTGTGCGTCTGATGCTGTTGCCTCTTCTGCCTTGATCGGGTGCCACTGCTCACCGTGCAAACCTCACCCCCACAACCTGACCCCACTGATGCTGCCGCTGCTGCTGCATGAACTAAACTATTCAAATTAATCATTTGCTCCACCTCTTTCCCTGTTTTTGTACTATAATACTTTATACTAACAATGTTTACTATCCGGCGTCAACCAGAGGAGGATGGGTTCCCCTTCTGAGTCTTGGTTCCTCTCAAGGTTTCTTCCTGTTTCTCTTAGGGAGTTTTTCCTTGCCACTGTCGCCACTGGCGACGCTCATGGGGGCTTGGACCCGGATTTCTTTCTGTAATGCTCATTTCCTTGTAAAGCTGCTTTGTGACAACACCTGTTGTAAAAAGCGCTATATAAATAAACTTTACTTACTTACTACTTACTCAACTTTTAATGTAAGTCAATGGAACCAGACTTTTTTCTGAGTCATTTTCGGTCATTTCTTTTGGTCCATTCTATATGAAATTTATACACAATGTAAAGGGCAACGGGCATATTCACTTTACGTCAAAAACTGGAAAACAACAAAAATGAGCAAAAGAGTTGTTGTCCCAACAACAGCGATATATTAGTATGTTTACACTTTGTGGGAAGTTCCATAAGCATCATGGTGCGTAGGAATATGGTGGATTTGAATATTTTATTTTGGTTGCCCACTCTCACGTTTTGGGTATTTTCTCAAGCTCTCATGCGGCTGCGCAGAGAAATCTCACCCCAACCAACTGACATGTTCAGAACAAACTTTTTATGCAGCTGATGCGGCCAGAGAGAACGAAGTGGAGTAAAGCAGCTGCTAATTGTTTTCAGGTTTAACTCCTGCTTGATTTAATTTAATATCTTCAACGCTGTCGAGGTAGTTAATCAATTATTAATTACTTCCCCTCAAACTGTACTTAATACATCCAGGAGGAAGTAATCTCACTACTCATTATGCTACTTTTAAATAACGTTACTTTAAAACCCACACAAATCTGTACCTTCTGGACAGCGCGAGGAAAAAGTCAGTGTAACAGTGGATACACACTTATGCTCACTACAGCCACCTCACCAGGGCCGGCAGCTGTGCACAAGCAGTGTTCTGTGACTCAAATAAATACATACTAAGCTGAAATGAGTGGCATTTACTGGTTGGATAGCTATGAAAAGTTGCTGAGGTCTTCGGTTTATTATAAAATGCGTAATTAAGTTTGATTAATGGAAATCCTTTAGATGTACTGCGCTCTCTAGAAATACCGGCGTTATTGATTTCGCAATGAGCGATTTTACTGCTGCTTGTCCCAAGTGTGAAAAAATCTGTATATATAAAGTTTTTGTTATTCATTACCTCCCTCTCTCCTTGTCTCTTTGTCTTTCTCTCTCCCTCCTTCTTCCTTTCTCTGTCTCACTTTATTTTTCTGCTTTTCTCTGTCCTTCTCTTTCTCCTTTACTCTACAATCTCTCCCTTGTCTGCCTCTTCCTCTTGCTCTATCTCTCTCTCTCTATCCATCTTTCTCCTCCCTTCCTCTCTCTCTTTCCTCTTTTTCTGTTTTTCTCTCTCTTTGCCTCTTTCCTGTCTTTGTCTCTCTCTCTGTCTCTCTCTCTCTCTCTCTCTTTGTATCTCTCTCTCCATCTTTCTCCTCCCTTTCTCTTTCTCCTTTCTTCTCTTCCTCAGTTTCTCTGTCTCTTTGCCTCTTCCCTTTCTCTATCTCTCCTCCCATTTTTTCTGTTTTTTACTTTTACTCCCCTATCCTTCTCTCTCTCCCTCTTGCATCCCTTCCTCTCTCTCCCTCTCTGTTTCTCTGTCTCTCTTTCACTCTCTCTTATTTATCCTCTCATTTCTTTCCTTTATCCCCCTCTCCTTCTCTCTCTCTCTCTTGTTCTCTCTCTCTTCCTCTTTCTGCAATATCAATTTTCTAATATTCTGTAATTATGTTTTACTGGCAGTGATTTATAAGCGTGAGAGCTGAATTACTGAGCTTGCAAATCTTCTGTCTGATATTTCTGCTGTGCTGCAGTATAAAATAATCCCTCACCATCTGCGCACACGTCCAGGGTGTTTTGTGTTTTTGGATGTAAATTGAAGCCGAAGAAGCTGACAGTAAATAAAAACATAAAATGAACATATTAAGTTTATTACAGTGTTTAGCCTGCGGCGTGTATCACAAAATCCAGCGTCCTCAGCAGTAAAGCAATGAGTATTTTTTTAGTTAGAATTTGCTCTTTGTCTGTCGTTTGGACACACAGATGTTGTTGCTGTGCTCGCAGGCACTTCGCCTTCTGCTTCCATTGTTCTGTTGCATATCGACTCAGGTTTTCAGGTGGAACCAAACCTGTAGTGGAGAAGTTCCTGTTCTTGTATGTGTTGATACTAAAACAGCATAAACAGACTGATATTATCTCTGTTTATCTGCTTCCGCGCAAACTGTTTAAACACGTCTGCGCTAAGCAATCACTACATCTCTTTATCATTACTGTTAACATTATTTGTTTTGATTCAAATTTAACTGTTTTTTATAATCAGGTAAAAGGAAAAGTACAGCTTTTGGCCATTTTTGGCTGATAATCATAAAGGAGGATAATGGTCACTGGTTGGAAAATGAATGGGAAAGCTTGAAATGCTCATCATGGGATCTGTTTATGGAGAAAGTCCCACCCTTTAATAAAGAGAGCCAATCGGGTTACTGGTAAAGCCACGAGCAGGAAAAGCCCCCCTCAGCTATAGAGATCAGTACAAGTGCAGTAGCCAGAACAGCCACTGTTCACCTCCTGGCCTTATTGTGTATTTAGCCCTCCTGATGACGGGATGACATTTATGATGACATTTGTCTGGTTCTCAGAAGAAAAAAGCTCTTTTAATCAGAAGCGCAGCTGTTTTCTGGAGAAACAGAGAGATTGCTTCATTATATCTGTGTGTGTTCTCAGGTGTTCACGCGCTACGGGAAGTGCTACACGTTTAACTCTGGCGAGACTGGGCCGCTGCTGATCAGCATGAAGGGAGGGATGGGGAGCGGACTGGAGATCATGCTGGACATCCAGCAGGACGAGTACTTACCTGTGTGGGGAGAGACAGGTGAGATAAAACACCTGGACACATCTGTCATACAAATAACACAGCAGCCCTGAACATGGAGTGTATTAGAGGAATGAAAAGTAAAATATCTAACAATGAGTGAATGAATGAATGAATGAATGAATGAATGAGACAGTTTTATTGTTATTATTATTACATGACTATGGAGCATAATTAAATAAAAGGTTAATGCTCTCTCTTCTCTCTCCCTTTCCTTCTCCCTCACCCTCTCTCTTCACCTCTCCCTCTCTTTCTCTCTGTCTTGCTCTTTCTCTCTCCCTTTTACTCTCTCTCTCCCTCTTTCTCTTGGTCACTCTCTTCTCTCTCTCCCTCTCTCTCTTTCTCTCTCTCTCTCTCTCCCTCTCTCTCTCTCTCTTTTTCTTTCTCCCCCTCCCTCGCTCTCTTTCACTCATCCCCTCTCTTACTCTCTCTCTCTCTCTTTCTCTCTCTCCCTCTCTCTCTTGCTCACCCTTCTCTTCTTCCGCTCCCTCTCTCTTTCTGTCTTTCTCTTTCTCTCTCCCTTATACTCTCTCTCTCTCTCTCGCTCAACCTTTATCCTTTCTCTTCCTCCTTTCTCTCTTTTTCTCTCTGTCTTTATCTTTCTCTCTCCCTCTTATTCTCTCTCTCACCCCTCTCTCTTGCATACCCTTTCTCTTCCCCTTTTCCCTCTCCCTCTCTCTCTCTCTCTCTCTCTCTCTCTCTCTCTCTCTCTGTCTCTCTGTCAGATGAGACGTCTTTTGAAGCGGGGATTAAAGTTCAGGTACACAGTCAGGACGAGCCGCCGTTCATCGATCAGTTGGGTTTCGGAGTTGCTCCGGGGTTCCAGACCTTTGTGTCCTGCCAAGAGCAGCGGGTACACTGTGTGTGTGTGTGTGTGTGTGTGTGTGTGTGTGTGTGTGTGTGTGTGTGTAGGCTGTTATAATTAATTCCACATTTATGCAGTGCTGTGCAAAATTCAGAGATGACCCTTCATTTATTTAATTTCCAGTCTAAACAGCCATTAAGTACAATGATTCATTTTTCAGTGTCAGGAAAAAAAGCAGAAAACAAACAATTAACAGAGAATTACCCAGGATCCTCAAAAACTAAATATAATATCATTTTCTCAGTATTTGTCCACTGTGTACCTCTATTACAGCTTACATTCTTTTCAGGGAGACTAACTTTCAGTTTTTCAGAGAAATCTGCAGGGATATTTTTCCACATTTCCAAAATTCTGTTTTACACTCCTGGGCAAAAAAAATGGGCCAAACCCAAAATTGCAAAATATGAAGCTTTTAGTGGTCTCAACAATAAATACATGATCAGGAAATTAGCAAGAATTAAACAATAAACAATTAAACAATAACATACTATGATAAAGTAACATAGTACAGGCTAGCCTTTCCTTTTGATTCCCTTAAATGTTGAAGGCAGGTTTTTACAGAAAGAAGAGTCAGTGTTGTTCCACTCAATGTTAAATACAAATTTTTCCTGGTTAGTTTGTGCTTCATGTGAGACTCTGACCAGGCCAAAAGCATGAGCCTGGTGGACTTGTCCTGAAGCCACTTCTTGGTGGTCTTCGCAGTGTGAGCAGGAGCATTGTCTTGTGATCATTCCTCTTTAGAAAACAACTTTTCAGTTGTGGGAAGTGAGCCTTTCTGCGATAGTACTAGTACCAGCAGCTGAAAAGGCTCCCCACTAGAGGTGGGAGTCACAAGGCATCTCGCATGATAAGCTGCCCACGATAATGATGATATCATGATACTGCGATTCTGTGATACTCGATTTATTGCAAGACAGTCCTCTACGATACATCACTTTATCTGTGTAACTGAAGAAAATAGAATACTCCGACATAAGCAAATAGCAGGAATTATGTATTTATTAGTGTCAGTTTCACAGAATTTGCCAACCAATATGAAGCAATGTACAACATGCGTAGCTTAGCTTCATGTGGTTTTAACACACATACACTGCGTGTGTCATCATCCCAATGTAAAATAGCCATAAACTGCCAGAAAGCAGGACAGTTCTGGGGTTAATCTCAACAACCAGATCAGGATGATGACAGAAAAGATGGCTATGCATGCTCGTTGTGTTGCCCATGTACTTTATTTTAACTACACAGTTCTTGCAAATCACAGTCTTTGTCTATTTCATTTGTCCCTTCAATGCTGTAAAAGCTGAAGTGGCCCAGACCTTCAACTTGAAAGAGGACGGTGTCTGTCTGGTTTGTTTCCAACCCCGTTGTCCACCATTTCTCCCCTGTGAGTTTCTGTTTCTTCACCGCAGGTTAACCCTATTCATTTGATTAGCACTCTAGCGCCGCCATGTGGAGTCAAATTGGAGGAGGAGTCTGTTTAGAGTGTTTACAGCGCATGCATGTTTCAATAAATGAATCGATATTTTGCGCCAGTGTATCGATAACGTATCACAAAAGAAATACAATATATCGCCGTAACGATATTTTATCCCACCCCTACTCTCCACACCGTGAGACCTCCATCTCCATGCTTAAAGGTAGTACAGATACATTCAGAGTTGTATTTCTCACCAGATCTTTGAAGACACCTCTCTGGACCATCACCATGCAACTCAAATCATGATTCATCAGTCCACACGACTCTGCTGAACCACTCTGAATCAAACTTTCTATTTCCTGCCAACAATTTCATTCTGTCCCCTGATGTGTTTCTTAGACAGCAGCGGCTTTTTTAACACATCATCTAGACACAAAACCTGCCTTAGACAACCTTCTGGTTGTTGTTCTTCTTGAGAGAGTCTTGTTTTCTGAGGTCTTGAATTCTGCTGACCGTTTTTGAAGGTTTTTGACAGTGCTGTGTTTGAGAACTGTAAATTTCAGCAGGTGGTCATCTCTGTTTGGAGAGGCTTTGGGCCTTCCAGATCATTTCTTTCTGGCAACGTCACCTATTGTTTCAAAGCGCTGAACTGTTCTCTTTATAGCTGATTTGCTGTCTGGTGAATTTCAGAATAGCTGCAGCTGGCCTGATGAAGACCAGCTACGATATTTTGCATGATATTTTGCTTTTTGTGGAGCAGATTTTCTCACTCGTTTACCTCAGGACCTGCATATTGTAGATCTCGACCTGTAGACATCTGTCACTCCTGGTTCTATTTAAGAGCTTGTTTTCAGGCTGGTGATGGGCTGCATCAGGCGTGGCAGATCAACATAACGAATGATCATATAATTGTTAAAAGAAGCCAAAAACTATTTTGGAAAATTTTGAGCACCCATGTGTTAGTTTGAGTTTTGTACAAAACATTTAAATCTTTCCATGATTTTGTCTTTGTGTACAAGACGACTGTGTAAGTGAATTTCCCTGTTTCCAGCTTTTTCTCCCAGCAGTTCACTGCAGCAACAAGCAAATGGTGGCACAGACCTCAGCAGTGCATTCTTAGTTCTTGCTAATTTTCTGACCAATGATTTGTTGTTAGGACCATTAAGAGCTTAATATTTTGCAATTTTGGTTTTGGCCCATTTTTTTGCCCAGTAGTGTCGAAGGTTGGTTGATTATTTTCTGAAGCGACCCCAAGCACATTAAGTCATGTTGAGGTCTGGAATCTGGGGTTTTTTTGCTTATTTGCCTTTGACTTTCTTCTAACTTGTACAAGTGGATTATCTCAAGGTCTAATCTCTTCAGGAAACTCTCCTGAAAGTGAGTAACTTTGTTATGAATAAGTTTGAACTGGAAACTGTGGTCTCTGACTTTTGCACATAGATTTGTGTGTTTGTGTACAGGAATTAGGACCCAACCAACATGAACATTTTGTGATCAACACCAGTTATAAGGAGCAAAAAAAATTCTGGTAACCTATAATATTGGCTGGTGTAATTCAATATGGTCAAAAAACAAACAGGCTTCAACTCTCTGTCAAATTTATTAAACTCAATTAAGCAACAGACACTCACAAAGTTTGAAATATTTTTTTTCTAATTTCTGTTAAATTAGCTTAAATTTTTGTCAAAGTTTTCTTTGTGTTATAATGTTATTCTTAACAGTTAAGTTTGGATACTTTTTACATGTTTTTTGTTTTTGTTTACATGTTTTTGGATATATTTCTAAATGTTTATGTGTCGATGGTGTTGTATGTTTAAGTGTATCAGTCTGTATTGCTGTAATAGAAGTGAGCAGGTGCTGACTGTGAGTTTATAAAGACTATTATATAGATATGAAACCACTGAATCCTTAGAAGTGAGCAGCTTTTCCTCTCGTCAGAGTCTCTTTATTGCAGTAGAAAACAAGCCACTATTTGCTTTATGGCCAGGATTTTCACAGATATGGATATGGATAAATCCGCAGGACATCAATATCTGACGTGGCTTGTTGGGCCCTAATATGAGTCTGTTCAGTCTCTGAGTGTGATTCGTGTCTGTTTCCCAGCTGATGTATCTGCCCCCTCCGTGGGGGAACTGCAAGGCGAGTCCGCTGGACTCCGACTTCTTCACCTCCTACAGCATCAGCGCCTGCCGCATCGACTGCGAGACGCGATACCTCGTGGAGAACTGCAACTGCCGCATGGTGCACATGCCCGGTACGACGGCCGTGCAACACTGCAATGAATCACAATCAGCATTTCTCATCCAGCTTGGAATCAATGTTTTCATATTGTAAAATTAATTAATGTTGCAAATGCACGTTTAAAATCATTCCAATATAATGCTGATCCTAAGCAGCTTCTCAGGTTACAAATAATTAACATCAAAATAACCCAAAAATTAAGTAATAATAAAATTAATAATAAGATTTAATATCTAATATTATATATTACGTATTATATTTTAGATTATTGATCTTATTTATACTATTATTTTTAGATTATCTAATATCCTAAACTGAATAGTAATAAACCTAATATCCAGAATGAAGTTATAATGAAATTCATAAACAGAACGAAGTTTAATAAAATTAATACCCAAATTTAATATCTAATAACAGAGATTGCATATTAGGTATTAGATATTAAATATTTAATATCTATATCTAAATGTCCAGAATTAAGTAGTAACAAAATTAATATCCAGAATTCAGTAATAATAAAATTGATATCCAAATTTCATCTCATATTGAATATTAAATATTAGCTTAAGTATTTAGTATATAATATATAGAATTAAATACTAATAATACTAATATCCAGACTGAAGTTATAATAAGATTCAGATCCACAGTGAAGTTAAAAGACAATTAATATCCAGAATTAAATTGTTATAAATTAGTCTCCAGCATAGTGATGATTAAGTCGTGCAGCAGATATATTGAAAAGCTCTATAAACAAATAATTACAGTATATTATTTATTATGTTATGGCTTCTTAAAAATTATATTGATTATGTAATAAAGCATCTAAAAGTACCTTGTATTGTTTAGTTTTTAGATTAAATTATTAATATGGCAGGTGATTCCACATGCTATTGTAGATCTTCTAGGTTCGGTCATCTTTCTCCTGACCCCTAACACAGTGTTCATGAGCTGGAAACTTCATCAGCGATTCATCACAGAAATCACAGACATTTTTTGTTCTTTCCTTTCTGTGATTCAGATAAAAAAGATTGTCTGTAATTCCTGTACAGTGTGATGAAATGACTGACATCTCTTTACTGCCCCTTCAGGTGATGCTCCCTACTGCACCCCTGAGCTGTATAAGGAATGTGCAGATCCGGCTCTCGGTAAGCAGCAGCAGTGCAGCAGGCCTCTACATGGCTCTGTAGCCACTAAGAAGACTGACACGAATGCCTCAGTGAGGTTTAAGTGGTTATGTCTTTGCCTGTGTGAGTGGGTGAGCACAAACTGTTATCGAATTCAATTAATGTCGTTTTAGTTGCACAGCGCTTTTTACAACTGGTACTGTCACGAAGCAGCTTTACAGAGATCCGAGAACAGGCCCCTGGTGTGCAAGCCAAGCGTGACAAGTGGCAGGGAAAAACTCTTTAAGCTGTGCGAGGAACCAAGACACAAAATGGAGGAAACCAGTCCTATTCTAGGCAAAACCAGACAGCAAGAACAATAACACAGCAGTGCAGTTTACACTAGCCATGAAATACAGTCTCCAAATGTCAGTGGAACACATTTAAATGATGATGTGTATGACTGAGAAAACAAACTGGGTTTTCGTCTTTGTCAATGAGCCAGCAAGACAACATTTATAACATTTATAAGTGTTTCTATCGTGTTCAAACTCTGTTTTTTATTGCAGCAGCTGTACATGGTATTTTTATTTTAAGAAAGCTGCAGCTGTCCTTTTTATCTCAGCATGCTTGTCTTTGTGGAGAGGTGGTTTTTACAGCGGGGGGTACTTACCCCTCCGCTTTCGCTCCTCGTTGCTCACTAGCAGCACAACGTAGAGTCACAACAATTCAAACAGAGAGACAACAGTGTCCTAGTTCAGAAGAACATATTTGATTTGGTCATATTAATTAAAAAAGTAAAGTTCTATTTCTGTTATCTATTTCTATTAAGCCGTTGCAGTGGAAGCATGGAAGACTTGGAAGTCCATAGAATGAAAAATGATGTACTATTCACTAGCATTTCCATGGCGACAAGCCACGGCTTTCAGCTAGGGCTCCAAAAAATGAATGTTGTGATAGTTGATTATTCGTGTGAATTAGTTGATTATCAGAATAAATGTGAAGAGCTGTAGCAATAAACTGTTTGGCAGTGTTCTGACAAACTGAAGCTCTGTCCACCAAGAGCTGAATTACTGCCACGCAAAAAACGTGGCTTGTTTAAGGTGCCCATAAATTTAAGCAACAGCTAAAGTGATATAATAATAATTATGTAGATTAACATTTAGCTCTTCAGGCTTCAGCGTCATTTAACTGGTTTAACATTTTACGTAACCAAACAGCAGTATCCAGACGCGTGTGGATTAACTGAGTAAAAAAGGTTTTATTATCGCTAAGCAGGCTCGTTGTCAATACACAGGCAGGGATCAAAACCAAAAAGCGGAGTATGATCACAGTGGTGATCATAACAACAGGCGAACAGAACCAAAGGGACAAGGCAAAAGACGTGGTCGAAAAACAGGCAGGCAAGTTCAAAAAACACAGATCAAAAAAGACAGGGCAACGGTACAAAAGGGGCAGGCAAGAGGCAAATCAAAGAACGAAGCAAAGGTCGGATAATCAGACGCATACAGATAGAAAGAAACGCTCAGTAAGTTCGCTGGGAAACAATACTTCGCACTGACTCTACCTACAGCCCGGCTTAAATACTAAGCTAAACAGATCACATGATAAAAGGACAGGTGAAACAGGTTAATACTCAGGAGACTTTGATCGTTGACAGGTGCGTGAAACATTGTCCGAAGTCATGTGATCCTTGAGTGACTTGTGGGTATTGGAGTCTCTCTCTGACTCTGACTCGGCATGAAGTCTCTCTGTCACATGATCTCCCAGAGTATTCTGGGAAATGGAGTCCAACTGTCCCTGAGAGTTCGTTACATGCGTGACATTTTAACATACTGGTTCTCTAGATGAGCTGTGTGAACAGGTTTCAAGGACGAGTGTACTGCATTTTTTTCACATGAAAACTATGTTCACAAAACGACTTGTATTTTAACCCCTTACGTGGCCAGGGCCCGCCGGCAGGCCCAAAGTTTTATTACACACTTCTATAACCTAAGAATAGTTCAACCAGTTTGCACTGAAGTCCCTGTAGTTACTGAATAATAAGACTTAAATAAATTAGCCTGGGATTTTAAGGGGTTGAGGGAATTAAGCAGTTGTATATAGTTCGCTGGCTAATGTAGGTAATGTTGTGACAGGACGAGCTGCTGAACGTTCAGTAGTTTTGTGAGGTAGCTGATAAAAACCTCTAATTAACAAAAACTGATTAGAATATTCCTGTGACTAACATTCACAGTTCACTATACACTGATCAGGCATAACATTATGACCACCTCCTTGTTTCTACGCTCATTGTCCATTTTATCAGCTCCACTTACTATATAGGTGCACTTTGTAGTTCTACAGTTACAGACTGTAGTCCATCTGTTTCTCTGCAGACTTTGTTAGCCTCCTTTTACCCGGTTCTTCAGTGGTCAGGACCCCCATGGACCCTCACAGAGCAGGTACTATTTGGGTGGTGGATCATTCTCAGCACTGCAGTAACACTGATGTGGTGGTGGTGTGTTAGTGTGTGTTGTGCTGATCTGAGTGGATCAGACACAGCAGTGCTGCTGGAGTTTTTAAACACTGTGTCCACTCACTGTCCACTATTAGACACTCCTACCTTGTCAGTCCACCTTGTAGATGTAAAGTCAGAGACGATAGCTCATCTGCTGCTGCACAGTTTGTGTTGGTCATCCTCTAGTCCTTCATCAGTGGTCACAGGACGCTGCCCACAGGACACTGTTGGCTGGATATTTTTGGTTGTTGGACTATTCTCAGTCCAGCAGTGACACTGAGGTGTTTAAAAACTCCAGCAGCACTGCTGTGTCTGATCCACTCAGACCAGCACAACACACACTAACACACCACCACCACGTCAGTGTTACTACAGTGCTGAGAATGATCCACCAGTCAAATAATACCTGCTCTGTGAGGGTCCATGGGGGTCCTGACCACTGAGGAACAGGGTAAAAGGGGGCTAACAAAGTATCAGAGAAACAGATGGACTACAGTCTGTAACTGTAGAACTACAAAGTGCACCTATATAGTAAGTGGAGCTGATAAAATGGACAATGAGTGTAGAAACAAGGAGGTGGTCATAATATGCCACATACATATAACTTATCAAGTATCTAGGACTCAGTAAGGTCAATAAGGTACTGCAGGGCTAACTCATTCAGAGCTTGATATTTCAAAAGAAGTATTTTATAATCAGAGGATTTTTATCTAGCAGCCGTTGCAGAGATGAAAGAACCGGAGTTATATGGTCGAATGTTCTAGTTCTAATGAGCACTCTAGCTGCAGCACTCTGGACCCATTGGAGTCTGTTTAGAGTTTACCAGAGCTTTCAGCTGTAAGGGTCTTACAACATATTAAATATATGGACTACAGTCCAGCCTCAAAGTTATAAAACATGGATGAGGTTCCAGTGTCTTTTAAGAACCGTGTATTTCATCGCTTGGCAACATTCTGTAAAAAGAAGAAGGCGATTCACACAACATCATTTATGCGTGTTTCAAATAAGAGATCTGAGTCAAAGGTGATACCTAGATTTATCACAATTCTCCGAGGCTCAACTGAGAAACCATCTACATTCAGAGCAAATTCAGAAAGTTCATTTCTCACTGCCTGAGGTCTGAATAGGACCTCAGTTTTGTTTGAGTTAAGATAGATTCATTATCCAGACTTATTCCCTGAACACCGTTCTTTTTTATTTAGTCTGTGGGGGCAACTTTTGGTTTAGCTGGTATATATAGCTGAGTATCATCAGCATAGCAAGGGAAGCTAATATCATACTTGTGAAGAAAAGAATGGCAGCATATAGAGAGGAAATAATAATGGGCCTAGCACCCACCCTTGAGGGACCCCATATTTGACTGTAGTAAGATTAGAAAATTCATTATTTACATTAATAGTGCTTTATAAATATAACTGATTGGTACTGATACAATGTAACATTACATTATATATCAAAAATATCAGATGATATTTAAAGTTAAAAAGACTAGAGTGCTAGAGCTCTAGAGAGCTGCTACTCTTCACCGAAAGTGGTGCCTTGAATTTACACTGATCAGATCAGTTGCAGATGAATAAAATGTGCTTCATTAACACAGTTACAGTCTTTTACTGCGTTTGACAAGAACTGTGTTAACACACTTTTATTTGTGTTTAACTGACTGACACATTTGAACTATGTTAATTCAAAACACCATTTTTTCAGTGTATATTAAAAGAACATCTTACAAACACCACTGTTGACTTGTGAAGTCGTTATAGAAGTTGCTGAGAATAAACTAGACAGAGAAGGTTAGATTTATTTCAAGACATCTTCATACAGAGATATTCACAGATCATTGATTGGTGAGGAAAGCAGGAACAGACGGCAGTTGTACAGAGTATTATCACCCTCGACTGGCCCAAACAATCTTGTCCCCCTAAGTATCAAGGTTGTGTACCCGTGATAAAGAGGCATAGAAAAGTACAGAACATTCTAACGTGACCTAAAAGGATCAGGCCCTTAGGGACAGAATGACTTTTCTGATATACAGAATAAGCATATAAGAGTTATACAAGTAACCACAGTCCAATCCCACACAGCTTCTTTAGATTGGACCAAAGGGAACTTTACACAGTACTGTAAATGTTAAACAGTAAGGCAACTGTAAGGGAAATGAAGAGGCAGGATGCAAGTCCATGGTTTTCTTATAACTTGCAAAAGCAACAAAAAAAGAGACAAAGAAAGAATGTTAGAAATCAATATACTTAAACTGAAAGAAAACAAAACATTAAGGATCATGAAGAACACTAATATACAACAGGTGCAAAACACAAAGCAGAACCTGTGAAACACAAACAGCAAATACAATTCAGAAGCACCTAAAACTAATGAGAAGGCGGAGCTACAGACAAGAGACAGATGAGGCAGATAACCAGGAGGCAGGACAGGGGAGGAGACAGGAACAAAAACAACAAAAGCACATGTCTAGACACACGAGAGAAGGTAAACAAAGGCAGACACGGACAGAAACAGAGCAACGGCGTTACAGCAACTTACTATTTATGATTTCATATGTATAATTTTTATCTATGTAAATTATCTGCAGTTAACTAAGTTTATGTTATGTATTAATACTGTCAAAACTAAAAAACAATGTTGACATGTGACACAGATTTTAGGAAACCACTACAGACAATACAGTCGTCTGCAAAAGTTTGAACAAAATTATATGTCAAATTGCATGTATTTGTTGATTTTCCAATTTGAACATATTGTAAAAATAGAACATAAAATCTAAAACTTTTGCACAGTAATTGTGCACTAAAATGTCTCTGTAGAAGATGTGTTCACTTATTTTCACTTGGAAAATCAATAAAACATGCATCTGAGCATTTATAAATAAATCAATTATGTCTCCAGAGCAGCTGGAAGACTGACCTGCGAATCGCTTTACTGTTCACTGGTCAGTTCCAGTGTTGGAATGAAAGAACCTCCTCTTTCTGCTGTGTTTCTCAGATTTCCTGGTGGAGAGGGATAACGACTACTGCATGTGTGAAACTCCATGTAACACCACTCGCTACAGCAAAGAGCTGTCCTTCGTCAAGATCCCCAGCAAAGCCTCCGCCAAATACCTCGCCAAGAAATTCAGCAAATCCGAGAAGTACATCGCGTGAGTGACTTTAGCTGCTTTCATTGCTAAGCTGATTCTTGCTGTGGAGTCGACAGTACAGTTTAACACTGAATGTGTTTAATGGGTTTTACACTGTGGGGGTTCGCGGTCGACGCCTGTGCTGTGTGCTCTGCAGCGTGAAGAAACAAACTGACACACTGTAAACAGTGCCAGATTGAAACGTGTCCTCATTCTATCCCGTCTGAAACTTTTTAATGAGCAAAAGTACGCTTTAAGAGTTTAGAGCAGCACCAAACATTATCTTCACTGCAGTTAACTGAGTTTTTGTCGTGTATTACTACAGCCAAATGTAAAAATCAGTATTGTTGTGTCACACAAAAACCTTTATACCACTATAGACAATACAGTTATACGCAAAAGTTTGAACACCCCCCAATAGGATTATGTTTTGTTGATTTTATAAGTCAAAAAAAGTTAACACAACCTCTTCTTGAAACTTTTTTTTTTGCAGCACATTTTAGAGCACAATTTCTATTTATCTGCTGAGTTTAACATATTGGGGAAAAAATAAAGCATACCATACCCTTTGCACATGAAACATTGTATGTTATATTTTTTACAATTTGTTAAATTCAGCAAATTTGCTATTACATTAGGATTAAAGGGTCCATATCATGGAAATTTTCCACGCTTTCTTTTAAATAAAAGAGGTTGATGTGGTATGTAAACAAGTTTCAGAACATACCCTTCACTAACCAGTCTATACAGTCCTTATATGGATTCTAAGCTCCAAAAACAGCCCATTTTGAGTCCATTAATTTTGTAATGTCACGAAAACCAAAAACGTTTACATATATCCACCTATTCAGCCTGCAGCAGTTTGGCCCTGCCCACTCACACTGAAGTTATGAAGAGTGTTTCAGACTTTACTGCTCATTGAATGATTCGCAATACAGGGCAGCCAATCAGAACAGAGCTCATTTACATGTATCAGTCTTAAAAGCACAGTAACAGAAACAGCCTGTTTAATATTAAAGGAAAGTAGAGAGTTGTAAAGTAGTCATAAAAATGAATTATGACTATTTTGATACATAAAACCACACAAACATCGTAAGTAGAAAATCAAATGCAAGGAATATGTAGGATGTGGGCCCTTAAGGTTAGATTTAGGCAGTGCTGAAACCTCAGGACCTTCTAGTACCTTTAGAGAAGGCCTAATGATTTCTGTTGACTAAAAAATACATCTGTACTTCTTAGTTCATTATCATATATTCCATATAATCAGACATTACTGTAAACAGTAATTGTGCATTAAAATGTGCAGACGACCTTGTTCCTTTATATACACTTACATGTAATTTGACCAGAGGTGTTCAAACTTCACTATTGGGCAGCGTTCATAAGTGTCCAATGACAAGTACCTTACATTTGTAAAGGCTTATTCCAACAAGTGTCAGTTGGCTTATGATGCTCGTGTAGGTGTCATGTAGTCTTATGAATGCTGCCCTTCAGAAAAGTGTTACTGGCACTTTTTACATATTGCAGTTTAGTGTTATTTATTTTGTACATGCTGCATACATTACACATACTAATAATAACATACATACAGCATTCAGAGCGCTGTGTGTTTTACAGAGACAACATCCTGGTGCTGGACGTCTTCTTCGAAGCTCTGAACTACGAGACCATTGAGCAGAGGAAAGCTTATGAAGTGGCAGGTCTGCTGGGTAAGTCCACCAGTCACTGGCCTGGCAAAAGTTATAGTGGCACTTTATTTATGACATAAATTTGCATAGATTGAAATTATTAACAAACTATCTAGTGAAACTCACTCAGTTGATTTGCTACAACACTAGGGTTAAAGGGCCCATATCAAAGAAAACTGCATTTTCTTCACGCTTTCTAAATGAGAGAGTTTGATGTGGTATGTAAACCTTGTTAAAGTTTCAAATATACTGTTCATTCTCTGGTCCATTCAGTCCACACATAAAAAACTAAGCTGAAAAAACAGCCGCATTTGCTTCAAAGTGATGTCGTGAAAAGTGCATTATTTTGTATCCAACTAATTAGCCTGCAGCAGTTTAGCTCCACCCATTGGTGCTGAAGATATAAGAAGTGTTTTAGTCTGAACTGCTTTTGAACAATGCAGACATGCAAAGCTCTGCAGAGCCAATCAGTCAGTCAGAACAAAAATGATAACTTTACAGGAGAAGTTTTTTCCAAGTAATTTTGGTCCATTCATCATGAAATTTACATTACATACATAAAAAAACGACAAAAATGGAGAAACAAGGTTTTGTTCTGACAGCAGTGATATATATATATATGTGTATATATATATATATATGTGTGTGTGTGTGTGTGTGTGTGTGTGTGTGTGTGTGTATATATATATATATATATATATATATATATATATAGGCCCTTTTGATTTAGATAGTAGGAAACCCTCAGACGCTTGGACAGTTTTTCAGACCACGTCATATGTTATCAAGCATTAACATCAGGCACAAAAAAGATGGTCTGGTTCAATGTTTAGGTCTCAAATGCAAAATAAACATTATACTAATGAGGATATGTTGACAGTAGTAGATAATTCACTCACATTCTTGAATTCTCTTTGAACGCACTCACAATCATCACATTCATCCGCCCAGGGAAGGGGTCTAAAGCTTAACCCACATTACAAAATATTCTTCTGCACACTGCATACAATTCCAAATCTCCAGCAGGGGTCTCCAAATCCCCAAAACTTACATAGTGCGGCTCTAAAGACAAGCCTATTGGTTCATTTTCTTGAATGCAGTTTATTTTATGCACTGAATCAGGCATCAAGCACTTCTTTACACCCTTTATTTGAAATGGTAAGACAGGCCTCTACGTCAGTACTTACCCTTCATGCAGCAGCCAAGCATTGTCTTAACACTGTGATCTCTGTGCATCTTTGATTTCAGGTGATATCGGAGGACAGATGGGTCTTTTCATTGGAGCGAGCATCCTCACCATTCTGGAGCTTTTCGACTATCTGTATGAGGTACATTAATAAGACCTAAAAGCACCTGTTTTTCTGCGGTCTGCCTTGTAATTGAAGTCCATTTAGACTCCTTTTACAGGCTTTCTCTCGTATTAAACCTCTCAATGACAGTCAGATTGCCAGAGATGGAGCAGGATATTGCAAAAATAGAGCATATTCTTTGCTTATCACATGAACTTGAACACAGCTCTCCAAACCGAGCTGCAACATTCATTAATATACAGACTCTTTATACCAGCGGTTAGTTTGTGTGTTGTAGTGATAGAAGAACTGCTGGTAAAAATGCCTTCAAAAGAGACCAGAGCTATTTAATAAGTACTCGAGGGAAAAACCTGCAATTACTGCTATAGAAGTATTGCAGCCAACCCGGCTCATTAGCCAAAATTTCCCCTTAGACATCCAGTTAAAATGTCAAACTCATTTCATACCAAAAAAAACTGTTTAGGTAGCACATTAAGCACTAATGATACAGTTTGTCATCCCAGTGTTTTATCCAGAGACCATTTCCTTTAAACTGGCCACACTGCACATGTTTTATGTTTTGTTTTTGTGATAATGAGGCTGACATCAAGACCAAGAACAGCAAAGAGTACTGGCAGATTCCACTGGCTCTTAGTTGTAAGTTAAAATGTTTAGGAGCTTGAGGGAAAAGGATGAGCCAGAAGTAGTGGTAACAACGTATGAGCCTTGCCAAATGTGGTGCTGCCCATTCTCAGGTCCTGAGGTGCTTCGTAGCACAACTGACAGACCACATTGGAAATATGTGGTTGGAATTTTGAATGCTAAATATAAGTCTCTGGGAAAAACATGAAGCAAACAAAAGGGCCATCCCATAGAAACTCCAGATTAGTTGTTCTTAACTGGCCTATCCATGCTTAGTATCATAGGGCTAGACCTGATTTTGTGACTAGAACATCTGGGTCAACCATGAGGAATTTTAGGTAAAAAAAAATACACTTTTAAGGTGGAACAAAGCGAGTGGGAAATTTTTTAATTAATCCAATACATTGAGAAGACAAAGCTCAAAGTAGGGGCTGATGGTGAACTCCTCTGCTAGAAAAACCAGCATAGACCAGCACAGCTGGTCACCAGCAAGACCAAACCAGCATATTTTTCAATTTTTGACATAATGCCTTTTGCCCTTTACATCGTGTGTAAATTTCATGAAGAATGGACCTAAAGAAACGGCCCAAAATTCTGGTTCCATTGACATTAAAAGTAAAGTAGGTTTTGTCCTTTTCCTGTGAAGTCATCATTTTGGAGATACGAGGTTTTCTTCTGACAGCAGTGTTGTGTTGTGTTTTGGATGCTGAGTGACCTGCTAGACCAGCACCAGACCAGCACCAGAACAGCATAAACAAGCTATGGTCTATGCTGTTTTTTTCACCAGAGTTGCCAACATTGTATGATGGACAACAAACCTGTCGTTAGCACGCTGATGTAATGCAGGTGTGCAAAATTCTGGTCCTGGATGACCAGTGACCAGCACAGTTTGGAGATTTCACTACTCAAAAACACCAACCAAACCTGGCAAATAAGTAAGTGTTATCAGATGTGTTTGAGTGGGTAAAACACCAAATTGTGTTGCACAGCAGCCATCCAGACCAGAGTTGTGCACCCCTGATTTAATGTAAGTTAGCATCTCCCTAGTAACTTCCTGTAAAGCATGTCGATGTGTCGCGTGTGCAGAGAACATTTTAGATGTCGTGGAAATTAGCATTGCCACTTGCGAGGGAAAACAGTTCTGCTTATGCTGCTGTTTCGCTAGCTAGCTTATTCTGCTTGTATTATTGATTGTACTCAGGATGTGAAAAGAGCACAGACTAGAGGAATTTGGGGGCGGGTACCTTTGACCCCATTTACACTTGATCACTTCATTTGACTTGTATCTGGATTGTATCCTGATCAGATTTTAGCCATATGCATTTACACTTGGTAGTCAAATGCGTCTCTGGTTAGTCAGACTGAAATCTGATTGCTGGGTGGAACGGAATATGGAAATCCACTCGTTATGTGGCAACAAATGACCTATTGTTTATTAAGTCGTCTGCAGTTTGTTTTGTACAGTAGGGTCCATATTGCTATTAAGCATTTCATTTCATTCTGTGCCCAACCATGTGCGTCCTCCATGATTATCTTCCTCACAGACTCGGATCATGCACCCAGTGATGTACTGCATGTGGAGGAGTTTCTGTTGTACTGGGAGGGTGGTTTGGTTGTACTGGGAGGAGTTCTGGTTGTACTGGGAGGGGTTTTGGGTTGTACTGGGAGGAGTTCTGGTTGTACGGGGAGGGGTTTTGGTTGAACTGAGATGGATTTTAGTTGTACTGGGAGGGATTGTAGTTGTATTGGAAGGGGTTTTGGTTGTACTGGGAGGAGTTTTAGTTGTACTGGGAGGAGTTTTAGTTGTACTAGGAAGTGTTTTGGCTATACTGGGAGGGATTTTAGTTGTACTGGGAGGAGGTTTGGTTTTAGTGGGAGGGGGTTTGGTTGTACTTCGAGAAGTTTCGTTTGTACTGGGAGGGTTTTTGGTAGTACAGGAGGAGTTTTGGTTGTCAAATGTGTCTTGAAGAGACGCATGCATTTACGCAGCTAGAACATGTGGCTCAAATGCGTCTCAGTCCACCTCCTGAAGTGGATTGGGCGATCGCAATTGTATCTAAATGAATCTTGGGTGTGTTTACACTTGCAGTTTTATGTGGTTTGGCCTTATCTAGATATAATCCTGATACTCAAGTAGCATGAAGTGACCAGGTGTAAACAGGGTCTTTGTTTGTGGTGTATTTTGCCTCCATCCAACACCAAAAGTTTAACAAGTTGTCTCCAGACGTGTATTCTCATTACACGCATGTGGAGGCTTCACACTCTCAGTTTGGCAGCATTGTGTTATAAAGGAAGACCTGGACTGTGGAAAAATTGGGTAAAAAAAAATTGCCTTTAAATTTTTTGTCAAAATATGTAAATTTACAGTGTTATTAATTTTAAATATTTATTTTGTTCACATATGAAAGGACACAAGAAAGTTTTTGTCATTTATTTGGGCTAATGTTAGCATGGTCATAGCCCGTCCAGACCACTTTCCTCAGATGAGTCAGGCTTGCTCCAAACTTTTAGGATTTTTGACAGCTCAGTTGGTGGAATATAATTTTCTATAGCTCTTAAACTTTAAAATAGCATTCCAGAAATATTAGGAATGCAAACTCAGTAGGTGTTTTTAAATATAGATTAAAACATGTCTGTTTAGCATGTACCTCGAATATTGTGGTTCATTTTGGTCTCTTTTTTAAATTGTGCTGTTAATTCCATTAATATTTCCAACTTTTCTGTGATTTTTCCAGTGTTTTACTTACATTCTTGTGTAGAGCACTTTGAGATGTTGTAAAGATATAAAGATTTATTATCATTATTACACTCTTTTATTCTCTCTCTCTCCTTCTGCTTTAAGGTGGCAAAATACAAGCTGTGTCGCTGTTCAGACAAGAAGAATCAGAGCAACAGCGCTGATCACGGCACCGTACTGGGGCTCGACGATGTCAAATGTCATGTCAGCAACTTTCACTAAAGACATCAATCCTGCATCCTGGAAGTTTCACCGAGACTGCGGCTGTTGTCGATAGACTGAGCTGTCCGTTTACATCATCACCGCGGCTGCGCATTCTAGAGTTGTATAGATTGTCCTAGAATCCTTTCAACCCTCTTTTCTATACACAAAGATGTGAAAATGTTCATTTTTACACATGCTAAAAACTTTGACATGCAGCTTTCCAGTAAACGTTTTAGATTTCACTTTCATAAAGTTTTGGTTGGCATCCGAAAAACATAGACATGCATTGGCAAATGTGCAGCCGGCAGCTTGAGCTATGCAATGGAAAAGCAAGAGGAAATCTTGAGAGGTGCGTTTGTTCTTTTGTGTTTTCTGATGGCGTCTTTTCTTGAGATGGATATGCAATAGGTGAGAATTGCGAAAACGTGCACGTAATGTGGCCAAGCCAGCTTAAGATCTGCAATCAGTTGGGTCTGAGGAGTCTCTCTCAACAACTTCAGAACCTCTAGAGCTCAGCAATGAAGTGTTTATGTGATTTATTGTTTCAAAACTAGTCACATAAACAACAACTCAGCATTTATAACGCACCCAATCTGGACTATGTTTCAGTTTTAAGCACGTTGTTGTTCATTAAAGGAATCCGCCAGCTTTGTCCATTGTAAATCAGCCTTCTGAACTCTGCTATTCCATTAATGACATTATCATTAATATTGCATTTTATGTAAGACTTGATTCATGCCATTAAAAGTGAGATGTTTATGTAATTATAAATGTATCGTGAGTTAATAGCTAACTAGTCTAAAGTGACGCTGTTGTTGCCTTTTCCATTCACAAGGTTTCAGCTTTGACGGTCACCAAAACAAGGCTTTGTAACAGACTGGACAGCAATAGCATACTTGTCACTAACAGACAAAACACCGCACTAGAACCGATTTTTGTCTGGAGAACAGACGCAGGACCAACATTAATGCTGCATTAACATTTGGACTTTCCATAAATTTTGTTTTTCATGGTCAGGTTGAAAGCTGAACATATACAGATTCAGTCTGCATTGTTAAGTGAGTTTGAAACCCCTGGCCTAACTGCATTTTTAAGCTGTAAATCTGCATAACTTGTTCTTTCAGATATGGGATTAATTTTTTGTTGATTTACCAGGATAGTCATGTGATAGAACATTTCTCAGGCTCGACCTAATTGCCATGGGTAGCAGCTGTGGGAAAACAGGGCTATTAGAGATAGGCCTTTAGTTCAGCCACACATGAAAAAATTCAGTCAAAAGCTCATTTCTGCTAGCACCACTATGAGAGTCTAGTAGTAATGGCTAAGCTAACGGTAATTCACTTGAACATTGTTTGGCTGTTCTAGATTAAACACGGATATTTTAACCCTCCAGAAGACATTCTATGTTTTATTTGAAGCTTGTAAAAGACATTAACATATGTTTGAACTCATATGTAGCCGTTTTACAGTGCCTCTTTCAGTGAAGAGCCCTGCTGCCGCCGCTGTTTTCCATTTCTAACAACGGACAGAAACACATCAGTCAGGCTACTTCTTGCAGAAGGTCCTCCAGAAGGTCTAGAGTGACATATTTTTCCAAAAATTGGTTCCACTCATCAGAAATGATGATCAAAATGTGATTGGTTGACTTTCCTGTTAGTTCCTAAATATGTTGGTGGTTAATTATCCCACATATATCATTTCAGCTCCTGAAGTCTTAGCCAGTGGGACAGATTGGTTAGGACCTCAGATACAAGAGAAAAGAAAGGTTCATGGAATTCGGTAACTGCCCATTGAAGTGTATTATAAATTAGTTTTGAGTCAGGATGTTTTCAGCGCAGTGTGCTGAAATTACTGTCTGTGATAATGGACTGCATAATGTAAATGCAGCAAAAAGAGATGAGGTTGGAAAACGCTGGTCTATTCCTTTAATGAACGCTGGAATAAATCTGGCTTTATAAAGCAGTGACCTGACTGCACAGGCTGGACTGTGAGGCTGCTTGCCTAGTTGAGCTGCCCGCAGAAGTGTTGTGAGAAGAACTACAGCTCACACCTACACACTGAATGCTCTGCTGTATGATGTCATTGGTCCACACCTGCTCCGAGTGTGACAGTGAACTGGAGATTTGCCCAGTAGCTTTGCATGAGAGCGCTCGCCTTATGTATGTAACGATGTATTTGTCTGTTGGCATGTTTGTTGTAAGAGTGGTAATGCGTACATGTGTGTGCGTGCATGAGTGTGTGTGTATGTGTGTATGCATGGCTGTATGCGTCTCAGTGTGTGTGCGCTGTAAAAAATGAAAGTCGCCTTTTTTTCAGATTGCTTGACCAGAGGACACTGAAGTTCACCCAACTTAGGTAAACTACTGTGTATATATATATATATATATATATATATATATATGTACACACACACATATTGCTGTTAGAATAAACCCTTGTATTTTCAAATATGTATATTTAAAGGACAAAAAGTTCTTAACATTCAATGTATGTTAATGTAACAAGATTTTATTCAAAGTCATTTGGACCATTTCTAGTACTCTTTATCGCGCAATCAGCCATTTCCTCCTCTTCGGGCTCCCACTTATGGATGGCTGTGGCATCGCTGGGGTTCAAACCCATTTTTCTTGTGACTTTTCTGGGCTTTCAAGTACCAAAACAGTCATAATTCATTTTTCCTGAGTATTCTCAGACCTTTTTTTAGCTCTTATAATTAAATGCACTGCTTCTATAACTGTCCCTTTGAGGCCGATATGTTTAAATGCCTGTCCTGTTTTTCAAAAAGTAAAAAAAGTTAAATGGGCCCTTTAACTGAGCAAAGAATTTGAAAATGTTCGTTTTAGTTGGTTCAACACAATGTGCTGGTGCTACAAACACAAAAAACATAAATATCCAATTTTTGTAATTTAGTTTTGAATCATTTTTCACTTGACTAAAATTTTGAGTTAACCAAACATCAAATTGTAGGTTAACAAAACATGCTGTGTCTTAGTCAGCTGTGTCTTAGTCAGTCACTCAGTCAGTTAACTTGATGAAATAAGTTACCTATTGAAGCACCTCTAGTGGTGCAACTGACCAAGCATTCATCCCAGCCTCTGGAGATGCTGAGCTTTAGCCCTAGCAATGCCTCAACCATCCATAACTGGGAGCCCAAGAAAAGGTAATGCCTAGTGACCTTGCTTAATGGAAAACTTGTGTGAGAAATAAGGAGGAATTAAATTGTAAGACAAAAAATTAGTCACCTGTGACCGAAACGTACCTAATAGCAGGTAATACCTCCACGAGCACAAATAACAGCTGTGTTTTGATTCGACATGGACTGGACAAGTTTCTGGATGTAGGCGACATCAATGTTCAGCCACTCTTGCATCAAAGAATTGTGCAGTTTGGCCAGATTTCGTGGACGCCTTCCGTGCCATCTTACTTGCTGTTCCGGGTAGTTTGGGCCAGTCCAGATGTGTGAAGCTCATCATGCCAATCAGTCACATTTGCAGCCCTGTGAACATAAGAATAGTCATCATTAAATACAGGGATAGGAATGTTATGTTTCTCTGTAAAATTATGAGCAAAAGGCAAAACCTCGTTGTCCAGCAGCTCAATATGGGCACTGTGGTTCAAATTTACTGTCACCTCAACCAAAGGATCCATTTCTGTGTAATTAAAACAGCCCCAGAACATCACAGAGCTCCTCCAGCTTAAACCACACCTTGAACACAGTCCTCATTGAAGGCTTCCTGAGGTCTACGATGAACACAGTGCTCAGCATCATTTACATACAGGCAGAAACAAGATTCATCTGACCACATTTAGAGTCATGAACAGTCCAGTGTTTGTGTCTCTTCGTCCACTGTAACCAGGCAACCTTGAGAGCAGAAAGGAGCAAAGGCCTCTTGCTTGCAACTCTGCTCTATATGTTCATGGTATGCAGTTCCCCGCGAAGAGTTTCAGAAATTGGTTGTGAAGGACCTGCGTTGACTTCTAGAAGCAATTCTTGCCTGGAAGCGAAGTGACTTTTATTCACAAGCCGTGAAACACGCTGGCGGTCCCTTGTCCATCAGTTTCGTCTTTCAGACACAAGTCTGACAAGAATTTCCTGTAGACTGGGATTTTTGCCACTGCTTGTCGACCAGTATGACCGTGCGCTTCGATACACGTCCAAACTCAGCTACTTCCTTCACACTGTGGCCTTTTTCATGCCCAAATGCAATCACTCCTTTTTGCCCATCATTAACATCTGCTTTGTGACCCATTTTCCACACATCGAACAAGACATTCTCCTTCACTGTACCACCTTTTCTCAATCTATGAATCCTGCCGTTTGCAGGAGCCTAAAGTTACTATCCTCTTAAACATGCAAGGTGACTAATTTTTTGTCCGGGGAGCTTATTTTTTATTGTTTTGAGTAAACTAGGAACTTTGTGTGCTCAAGTCGAGTTATTTGAAGAAATGTGCAAGAATCTGACCCTCCATTTTTTGCAGTGTGCAGGGGTGCCAGCATTGTATGCGTTTCTGTGCATGGCTGTATGCGTGCAAGTACGTCCATGCATGTGTGTATACTCGTGGTTTGTGTGTCGTGTCCTGCAGGGCAGATGAGTATTTTTAAATGACAAAGAGAGATTAGATTATTTTCATAGCTTAATGCCGAGCCACACCAAAACTCAAAAGATTTACAGAATGTGCCAAATACCTGCATATAGGCCGTGATCTCCATGTTCAGTCATATTTATAGTTCGGTATGATTTATGGTGTATTTGCATTCTTCTACCTCCTAGTTGGTTGTGATGATGAATTTAGGTGCAGTGTTTGCGGCCTCACGTGGACTCTTCTTTCTCAGCCGGGCGGTGGAGTGTTGATATGCTCGTGTTATATTTGTTTAAAAATTTGAATGGTCAACTCACAAGAGATCTAGTGAAATGTACAGCAGCTTCAGTAAGAGTTCCCTCTTATTATTATTATGATTACTATTATTATTATAATCAGTATCTGTGTTGATTTGATGCTTATCATGTGGCTGTATTGTATGTGATTTTTTAAATGAATAAATGTATTGAGTTATGCACTTTTGCACACTTTATTATGTGGAAAAAGAAGAGATATATGTGTGTGGAGGGGGATGAGTTTACAGTTTAATTGAATTTTCCTTGTATTTTCATTTTTTTTTACAAAATGTTTTCAAAAGTAGCTTCACAAAATCTGAATCCAGTATGAATCTGCAGTGTGTGTAGTTTTACAGTCTGACGGTAATAATTGTGGAGTGATTTTAATCCATAATGAATCTCAAATGAACATAACATAACATAGCCTATGTGAAAACAAGATGTCAAAGAGTTCAGTGTGAGTTTAAGGCTTTGATTTTTTGTAGGTTTCAGTCATGAAGCCCAGTAGTGACCATGACAGATGTTGGAGAGGGACACGATGGTTGACTATTCATTAAAATCTCTGCTGTGTCCAGGTGAGGCTTTGCATCAAAGCACAGTTGAGTAGCACATGCAAATGCATCAAAGGTGGCCAAGCTTGTCCAGACAGCAGGAGAGACCTCTGTTGGGGGAGGTGTAGTTTCTAATGAGGGAGACAGGCCCCTGAACCCTCACCCACTTTCAGTGGTCCAGTTTACTCAAACTTTTAGAGGTAACTAGTTGTTTTAGTTCAATTTAGTGTTGAAAGTCAGTTTTCAAGTTGTTTGAAATTATACATGGAGTTGAAAACACTCAAACATTTAAGTCTAACAAATAAAATATACGTCTGCATAACAACAAAATATCGTTACAGAAACTTGAGCTTTGAGTTGAACTGCTACATCGTTTAATTTACTAATCTTCACATTATTGTTATTTTGTAATGATCACAAGCTGATATGTACAAAACACTTTCAAAAAGAGTTTTTAAAGCTACATACTTTACATACAACTTTGATAACACACTCATGGTTAGGATACTACAACATGTAAAGTGCATCCAAACCTATATATAATGTGAATGTGTTGTTTGAAAACAACATCTGAAGGAAAAATAAAAAGCTAATATACAGAAATCAGCTAACTTGCTTGGAACTCTGGGTGGCTCCACCTCTGTACTCTTTCATTAGTTGTCATTTTGAGTTTGTTCTTCTCACAAAAATAAGTACACTTGAGTTTTCAATCAGACAGTACAAACAACTCGCCTGAATTGAGTGATGACAACTAATTGCAAGTAATTACAGTGTGATTATTTGAGTACAAATAACATGAGGGCTTTCAGTGTACCTGCTTTAATTGCATTTTGCTTTGTCTTTTTGACTCTTGGCCCACCACAAACACTGGACAATGTTTGTCCATGACAAAACGGTTTATGCACCCCTGCTGTAGAGCGTTTAGCCTCATTCACAAACAGCAGAGCATTGTTATGTGTAGCTTCTCCACTGACCTCAGAGTTCTCATTGTAACAAGTGTAGGACATATTTCTGAGATCTCTGACTTCAGATCTGCCTTGAAAACAAAGTCAATGTCATAATAACAAGAAAGTGTTTGTAATAGTGATTTAATATCTCATAATTAGGACTTAATATCTCATCATTTTTACCAGTGTTTGCACTTTTTCTTCATGACTGTGCCGTCTCTGAGTGTATCAAACCAAACGAGTGCAAATGTTCCACTTCATTAGCATCTGAACATTTAAAAGAAAGTAAAACAGAGAAACAGACAGTCAGAACCCCCCACATTAGCCCACCCCATTTACATCTCCATTTCTCTGAGGATCTCTGTCTCTGAGTTTATCTAGTCTAGCCATTTGTTTCTGGTTAAAACAAAGAAGACTCCACAGGAGATCCTCCCCACCCAGCTTACCACCCACCCCCCTCCAATCCTGAGTAGTGTTTTCAGAGCTGAATCTGCTGAATAATATACTGAATGTACTGGATAATATACCAAATAAAGTGAGTGTACTGAGTAATATAGTGAATGTACTAAATATATTCAATAATATACTGAATGTACTGAATATACAAAGTTATATAGTGATTATATAGTCTTATGCAAACGTTTTGGAACAAGTTTGAACGCACTGCTGCACATTTTTATTTCTGTTTATTTGCTGAATTTTACATAATGGGGAATAAAAAAAACTTTATATTTCAAAAAATATATGTAAAGGATATTTTGAATATCCTAAATATACTGAATACTATACTAAATATGTTATATATATTAAATGTAAAGGGCAAGGACCATAAAGTTGAGAAAAAAATAGTTCAAAGCTTTTACTCTGATTGTATGTTTGTTTGTATGAGTTTGCTTAATACTTTTTTCTTTTCTTCTCTTTTTAATGTGATCTTTCTCTTCTCTTCTCTTCTCTTCTCTTCTTTTCTCTTATTTGTTCTTCTCTTTTCATTTGTTCTCTCCTTGTTTCTTCAATTTTATTCTCCTTTTGTCTCTTCTCCTCTTTTTTCTCCTTTTTTTCTCTTCTACTCTCTTGCTTCTCCTCCTTTTCTCTTTTTTCTCTTTTCTCGTTTTCTTTTTCTTCCTTTTATTCTCTATTTGTCACTTCCCTCATTTTCTCCTCTCTTCTCTTTTTTCTCTCCTTTTCTCTTTTCTTTTCTTCTCTTTTCTCTTCTCTTCAGATCTTCTCTATTCACATCCCTTCTCTGTTCTCATCAGAGCTTCTCTTCTTTTCTCCTCTTCTTCTCATAAGATCTTCTCTTCTCTCATTTGTTCTTCTGTTCAGGGCTTCTCTTCTATTCAAATCTTCTCTATTCTCATCTCTTTTCTCATCAGGCCTTCTCTTCTGTTCTGTTTTGTTCTCTTCTTTTCTTTCATGTGTTCTTCTCTACTCTTTTCATTTGTTGTTTTATCTTCTTTTTTATTCTCTTCTTGTCGCTTCTCTCATTTTCTCCTCTCTTCTCTTTTTTCTCTTTTTTTTCTTGTCTTCTTTTCTCTTCTGCTTTTTTATATTTTGTTCACTTCTCTTCCTTTCTTTTCTCTTCCTTTCCTTTCTTTTCTTTTCTCTCTTCTCTTCAAATCTTCTCTTCTCCTCTGCCCTTCTCTTTTCTCTTCTCTTTTCTTCTCTTCTCCTCTGCCCTTCTATTCTCTTCTCTTCTCTTCTCCTCTCTTCTCTTCTCTTCTCTTCTCCTCTGCCCTTCTCTTCTCTTCTCTTCTCTTCTTCTCTTCTCTTCTCTTCACTTCTCTTCTCTTCTCCTCTGCCCTTCTCTTCTCTTCTCTTCTCCTCTGCCCTTCTCTTCTCTTCTCCTTTCACACTGTCAGCTGAGAAGTCATTAACGGACCCATGCTGCTCTGATCTGAGTTATAAGGTTCTCTTTGTGCTGGTGTTATTATTTGTTCTCTCAGCAGAGCTGAATATAACCGTGACCGCCTTTGAATGGGACGCATTCAGCGCTTCAGCCAAGTGAGTGTAAAGTTCACAGCACAAACAGGCGCTTTATTATATTTCCCATTGTATCATCAGAATATAGAGAAACCTCGATTCCGCGTCTTTAAACTGAGCTACATGATCAAAGACGCGTATTTACGCCTTTCACCTTCAAACAAGCGTTCATGTAAAAAATGGGCGGGGTTGCCTGCTCCTCTGATAGGCCAGTGTACGCGGGGGGCGAGGCCTCAAGCACAAAGTGGCAAAAGTTTGCCAACAGCTGAGCAGCTGCACGCGCTTCGCCATGACAACGCCGAAGAAAGTCTGCATCGTCGGCTCCGGAAACTGGTAAAAAACTACCAAACACTTTTCTGAAGTAGCTCAGCGTTTGTGTCCTTTTCTTCAGTCCTCCTGCTTCTCTCTGTTTCCTGTCCTCGTTTTGGAAGCGACTTGTCGGATTCCACAGGTTGCTGTGGGGTCGACAGTGGTCAGAATCCCCTTGGCTGAACTCAGGCACTTGGACTTAAAGCGAACTATTTATATGTAGACGCTCAGGTTCAAAGCCAAGTGGCGTTTTATTGGACCTATTGTGAACTTATAGGGTTTAAAAGCACAGAAGGAACCACAAATAGGTCCTTATTGGACATTCAGGGCATTATTTGGGTGTAGAAGCCCAGACCGAATCCCAAGTGGCTATTTACTGGACATATAATGCACTTCTTGGGTGTAGAAGCGTAAACTGAGCCCAAAAACGTCTCTTGACTTTACATATAGTGAATTATTTGGGTGTAAAAGCTCAGCCTCAATTCCATATGGCTCTTTTTGGGAATAGAGTAAACGATTTGGGGGTAGAGGCTCAGGCTGAACCCCAAGCAAGTCCTTATTGTACATATACTGCACTATTTGGGTGCAGAAGTCAATACTGTATCCCAAATGCCTGTTTACTGCACATATATTGTCCTATTTGGATGCAGAATCCTAAACGGAACCCCAAAATGCCTCTTTACTCGCCATGTATTGCACTATTTGGTTGCAGAAACTCAGGTTCAATCTGGACATATAGTGCACTTTGGGTGTAGAAGCCTAGACTGAACCTTAAATGGCCGTTAACTGGAAATAGAGTGACTTATTATGGGTGTAAAAGCTCAGGTTGAACACAGTGCATTATTAGGGTCTAAAAGCTCAGGCTCAATTCTCACTGGCTGTTTCTTTGGGAATATAGTGCTCTATTTGTGTGTAGAAGCCCAGGCTGAACCTCAAATATGTCTTTATTGGATATATTGTGGGCAAATTGGGTATATATATGCCTATACTGAACCCCTAATGTCTATTTACTGGACATATGCTGTACTATTTGGGTGTAGAATTCTAAACGAAACCCCAAATGGCTCTTTACCAGACATATAGTAACTTATTACGAGTGTAAAGCTCAGGCTGAACCCCAAATGAATATTTACTGGAGATATAGTGCATTATTTGGGTGTAAAAGCTCAGGCTCAGTGCTAACTGGCTATTTCTTTGGGAATATAGTGCATTATTTTTGTGTGGAAGCCCAGGCTGAACCTAAATATCTCTTTATTGGACATACTGTGAACCATTTGAGTCGAGAAGCTATAATTTCATGACATATGTAGTGCACTATTTGGATATGGAAAACCAGACTGAACCCCAAATGTCTATTTACTGGACATATACTGTACTATTTGGGTGTAGAAGTCTAAACGAAACCCCAAATGGCTCTTTACCAGACATATAATAGCTTATTATGAGTATAAAGCTCAGGCTGAACCCCAAATGAATATTTACTGGAGATATAGTGCATTATTTGGGTGTAAAAGCTCAGGCTCAGTGCTAACTGGCTGTTTCTTTGGGAATATAGTGCATTATTTGTGTGTAGAAGCCCAGGCTGAACCTAAATATCTCTTTATTGGACATATTGTAAACTATTTGTGTGCAGAAGCTCATGCTGTATCCCAAATGCCTCCTTATTGGACATATGGTGGACCATTTGAGTGGAGAAGCTATAATTCCCTGACCTATAGAGCTCTATTTGAGATCCAGCCTATTCTCTTGTTCGCTGAACACCAAGCAAAGCTTCATGGCAGTCAATGATGCAGAAACAGGTCAGTGTGTCTAGCTTGGCTTAATAAAAACAGAGGCTCCGCTGGTTCAGTGCTTGGACGTTGTGTAATTGCGTGTCCCAGGGTACCCAGTGTGCCCAGCAGGTGAGTTTGTGTGCCATTTGTACTAACTGCATCCCAGCAATGTGCACAGATGTGCAAAACATGTGAAGCATATGGCCAAGTCAGTCAACACGTAACATGGGCAGCCAACCCAGTTTCTGCAGTGCACTCCCACGGTTAGGGTTCAGGAATGTGTGCCAAAGTCTTATGTCATATGATACAGACTACAGAGCACACATGACTGTGTTGCTGGTTATAGTGTTGCATGTTACTGCACTGAAAAAATCGTTCATGACTCAAATGTGTCGGTCGCACAGGATTAACATGCTACTTCAACACACTCGCTGTGTCCTAGGTTACTTACTTTTGGAAAGAATTGTGTTGAGGTAGCACATTTTATGCATGTGCAACCGTTTGACAACTATTTAGACATTATTGTGACTTGTGAGCTTCTTGGAAAGTCAGCCAAATAAATTAAGCCCCCAACAATCGGCTGTTTGTTAACGAATAATGTAAGAACTGGTTCTTCCACATCCAGCTGTGAAGGACATGTTTTAATCTCTAACAGTGGAACTACAGTAGAACATAATCAGTGTCAGAAATAGCCAGGGGCAAAGGGCAAAAATGCATACCAATTTAATATTTTTGCCCTTCAAAGCACAATTACAGGGTCAAAAAATGTTCCTAGAAAAAAATGCAATTTTTTAGTCATTCATTCTTCTTATGTTATAATATTATTGTGTGTATTTTGCAATGTACCTCCATTTTTATACGCTCTCAGAAATTAAGATATGAAACTGTCACTGGGGCAGCAGCCCTCTTGTGACTGGGGTGGTACCATCAAGGGTACATCTCAGTACCTTTAGTCAGGGAACATAACTGTACCATAATCCACTGAAATGATATGTTCTAAGTTGTACTGACTCCACACACCCCGTCTCGTCTCCAGGCTTTTATTTTATTGTTCTGTTTCAAAACATTCGGTTATGAAAAGGTACAAATACGAACTTTTCACCTGGAAAAACTCATTTAAGGTCCACAATTGAACCTTTAAACCACTGCTATACCTTTGAGGGAACATTTACATTGTTTGTACCTTGATGAACGAAAAATGTACCTGCACAGAACCTTTATTTCTAACAGTGTATAAAATGCACCGTATGTCAGTCCTAACAATATCCTTGCCTGCCCTGAACGTAACGTCCATGTCTCTCTCTCGCTCTTTCTATCAGGGGATCTGCCATTGCTAAGATAGTCGGGCTGAATGCAGGACGAAACCCAAAGTTTGACTCCACAGTGAACATGTGGGTCTTTGAGGAGGTGGTTAACGGACGTAAACTCACCGAAATCATTAACACGGAGCATGAGAACATCAAGTACCTGCCTGGACACAAACTACCCGAGAATGTGGTGAGAGACTGATCCCAATAATGCAACATCTGCAGCTGGGTTGTTTTAACTCTTACAGAGTTTAAATGAGTCTTGCAGTGTTGACTTTACTCACGCTGTTGAATTAGCTCTTATAGTGTTTATTTAAGTCTTACTCTGTTTAACTGGCCTTCCTGTTATGTTGCATGTCAGATTGACCCATTTCAAAGTTTAAAAATACAAGAACAAATATTTTTAACAATTTATGGAGCATGAAACCTTTAATGCTGGCCTTTTCGCTCATTTAGTGTGATTTAATTTGAAAGGGTCAGTTTGACCCAGAACAGAAGAGATGTTTTGTTTGTATTAATCAATACGCCCCAATCATAATATGTCAAAAAATGTTGAAAAGGTCCAAGAATAAATAAAACAAATCTGTTGAATGTCGAGTTTTTTCCCAATGTACAGAAAAGAACAGTTTGAAAATATTTTTTTAATGAAAAGCAAGTGAATTATTATAAGTGAACCGTAATCTGTAATAGGCAAAAAATGTGATTACACTAAATATTGATTAAATTGATATTAGTTGAGCTAAAGATAATGTTTATGGAGAAAACTACTTTCAGATGGTTAAACATGCCAATTTGACCTGGGAACATTATTGATGCCCTTTACAGTTGAACGTAACAGGAGGGTTAGCTCCTAGTGCTGCATTAACTCCTTCAGTGTTGTATCAACTCTTACAGTGTTGGATTCACTCTTAGACTCTGACTCATGTCTGTCTAGCTGGACTCATGTAGGTGTTAATGAATCCAGCACTGGGTTTGGCTGTGATCTGGTCACACTGACTTCATCCAGCGTAGAGTTGAAGGGACTATCTGTAAAGTTCTGAATATGTCTTCCCTTTGTCCTTCCTCCCTCCATTTCATCTCTCTGTCTCTTTTACTGCTCGAGCAATTGCCTTTTTCAGAGGTCTACAATCCAGTTATAGAGACAATAAAAATGATACTACGCATTTAAGATGATTAAAGCTGGGTGTAGATTACTGAGGGGGGTGGAGGACTTTAACACTCACACAGCTCACATAATGAAGGTAATGACAAACGATTGGAGAGGGGGTCTTAAAAATGACACATGCACATAGTAGCTAAGAGAAATAGTGAACACTAAAGTCTCTCTCTCTCTCTCTCCCTCTCTCCCTCTCTCTCTGTCTGTCTGTCTGTCTGTCTCTCCCTCTCTCTCTCTCTCTCTGTCTGTCTCTCTCTCTCTCTCTCTCTCTCTCTCTCTCTCTCTCTCTCTCTCTCTCTCTCTCTGTCTGTCTGTCTGTCTGTCTCTCTCTCTCTCTCTCTCTCTCTCTCTCTCTCTCTCTCTCTCTCTCTCTCTCTCTCTCTCTCAGGTGGCGGTGGCGGATCTTGTTGAGGCTATAAGCGGTGCTGATATTCTGCTCTTTGTGATCCCCCATCAGTTTATCAGCAGAGTGTGTGACACCATACAGGGAAAGATTAAAGGAGATGCTCTGGGAATGTCACTAATCAAGGTCTTGCGCGCACACACACACACACACACACAGTTCTTTATAATACACTATTGCTACTACACTCTTAAAGAAGATGGTTCTTCAAGTGTTCTTTAGTAAAGAAAATGGTTCTTTGTAGAACCATGAACACTCAGCGAATGAAAGAGTTCTTTGCATTATGAAAGAGTTCTTCAGAATGTGCTGTAGATGGTTCTGCATCACCCAAAAGTGTTCTTCTGTTGTTATTAACCATTGCTCCACCTGTTCTTCCCCGTTTTGTATTCTAATATTTTATTCTTATGCTGTTTGCTATGTGGTGTTGACCAGAGGAGGATGGGTTCCCCTTTTGAGTCTTGCTCTTAGGGGGTTTTTCCTTGCCACTGTTGCCATTGGCGACGCTCATGGGGACTCGAACCTGGATTTTTCTGTAAAGCTGCTTTGTGACAACGCCTGTTGTAAAAAGCGCTATATAAACAAACTTTGACTTGACTTGACTTGAATTACAGTGTCAAGTTTATAACAATAGAAGAACTCTTTTGGGTGCTATATAGAACCCTTTTCAAAAAGGTTCTATAAAGAACCATTTGCAGCACATTCTCTATCAATCTGTAGAACCCTTTCAAGATGCAAAGAACCCTTTAATCATGCAAAGGGTTCTTTGAGTGTTCATGGTTCTACATAGATCCATTTTCTTTACCAAAGATCCCTTGAAGAACCATCTTTTTTAAGAGTGTACTACTCTCTTAAAGAAGATGGTTCTTCAGAGGTTCTTTTAGTAAAGAGATGGAACCATGAGTTCTATATAGAACCATTTCATGGTTTTCATTTCTTTTAATGGTTCTTCAAATTGTTGTAGAATGTGTTGTTCATGGTTCTATATAGCACCAAAAAGGCTTCTGCTATTTTTACAACATTGACATTGTAACAATAGCAGAACCTTTTTTGGCACTGTATAGAACCATTTTCAAAAAAGGTCAATCTGAAGAACAATTTTACCACACAAAGAACCATTTAATCATGAAATGGTTCTATATGGAGCTCATGGCTCTAAATAGGACCATTGTCTTTACTAAAGCACCTCTGAAGAACCATCTTTTTAAATGTGTATTTAATATACTATGTAATGTCAACACGTGGGATCATCAAGCTCGACTTGGGGGGCATGCAAGAAGATTCGGATTGAAAAAGTACAAGAATGTTCTTCTATGGAAAATCCCCTTTCCATCCCCTCTAAGTTTATATCCTTATGCAATATCACTTGAGATGTCTACTGTTGTTTCATTCCATCAGTATTTAAGTTTTAACGTCAAGTTGTCTTGGTTGTACTGGTAGTTCCACATATCAAAACAACCATGCGCTATTGGCTCAAAGCAAGCCTGTATCTAAAAAGAGGTGGCCACGTAGAAATGCACTCTTTTAATAATGTTATGTTATGCAGTGGAGCATTTGGCACATCACCTGCACGCACTGTAGTTTCAGGAAAGCAAACGCAAAAAAGAAAAACAGCTGTGAAGGATATCTGGAGTTAATACAACAGCACATTTGAATATGCAGTTTTTGTGTATATAATTGCTCTGTGTGATATTAACTGAGCTATTATATTAGTAGGCTGGCTAGAAAGATAGCTTGCTAACACATGCATTAAATTAATAACAAATGATGTGATAAAGTAAAGAGGTGACTGGATTTTCAGTGTGATGCTGCTGTCAGTAATGTTGATAGCCAGCACTACAGTTACAGCCCCTTGAGTGAAAGTTTTTCTACAATTTGACCACTCGGGATCTTACACAATAGTGGCGATTCAGTGGGGAGGGTGGGCAAAACAGGGTGGGGAGCTCTAATGAGAAGTTAACTACTGCCAGAAATACTGTGCTACACTTTGCTATAGCATTTACCACTGATAACATTTGGAATATTTTTCTGACTGTAGCACCAGCTATCAACGTTGCTGACAGCAGAATCACACTGAAAATTCAGTCACCATTGTTTGGCGGAAGTTAAGTTCATAAGAGAGCTAACCCCCCACCCCCCGCTTTGTTGAGCCCCCCCATCCCCATTCAAATTTTTCTACAATTTGACCACTGGGAACCATATGCTATTGAAGAGGTTCAGTGGGGCCTACTATGCAGACAGACCTCAAGAGTATATTATTATTGTTTTCAGTGTAGCATAAAGCATTTTATGATTAATAAATGCCTTTTGAAAAAAAATTGGGCCATTTTCCATCTATTTGCTGTTTGAAGGGTGGGGCCACCACTCATTCTATCACTCTATGTGTGGAATCATGCAACACGTTTTCAAGCACCCATTAGACACACAGTCATATCCTGATAACGAGAAAACAGGCCACAGGCTAAACTGCACAGATGCAGATAGAAGGAGAGTTGTTTGTGGATGGACAGTGACAAAAGAAATGAAATCACATTTATTTTAAGAAGAGTCTGTGAACTCGCAGCGGAGTGAGAGAGCAGGTGCCCGGCAGGGTGAGTGGATCCAGATAAGTTGCCAGGCCAGCAAGGAGCAAGGGCAAGTTAGCACGCTAACTTTAGAGGTGGGGAAAAGTCATATGAGTGCAAATATGATTTTGCAATGTAATTGTCCACCCCTGATCATACATAATACACAGTGGTGCTTGAAATGTGCTTATATATATAATGTATGTGTGTGTGTGTGTGTGTGTGTGTGTGTGTGTGTGTATATATATATATATATATATATATATATACACACACAATGCTCTGTTCCTATGTGCCTAAATGTAACAATAACGTGTCTTACATGATTTATTTACATATGTCCAGTATGTGTTTATATGGGCCATTCTCCAAACACAGTGACATTTGGAATGAGAAAAAAATGAAATTCATACATTCTTAAAACTGAATAAGTTTTATGTTTTATAATTTATATTTTTTCAGCTTAATAAATATAATGTTTAGATATTTTATTAAAAAAAACGTCATTCCAGCATGTAAGTCACTGGTACTGAAAATTGTTATTTTTCCAAGAATTAAAATGTGTTATTGAAAATGTTCATACAATGAAATGATGAATAGCAATTAAATAATTTTCCTTTGTTTGATTTGAAAGCCTTGGAACTAAAATACAGCACTTAAGTGCTTTGATAGGACATCCTTGTGATCCTTGTGTCTCATTTGTGTATTAAAATGATGAAATCATTGTAGGGAGATTTGTAGTACAAAAACTGATTTGGAAAAGCTGTAAGACAGACCCAGGGACGGACTTTTTACTGTCAAACAGTAACTTTAACACCCACACAGTTACACCAGTGACAGTGTTACACTGGTGACAATGTGAGACACAATTGCTTTTTTTTCCAAACGCAAAACCTTTTAATCAAAATAAGAATACTATTAAATGATTAAGTACCCTTCAGAGACATGTCCACTGAACTGCAAAATGCAAAATTAATGAAGTTAACCCAACATGAACGTCTGTCCCTGTGTAACACCATCTCGGTAGTGAATGTGACACCACTGACCTTTTAATCAAAACGGAGGATTATCTTAAAGTGACCTTTATTTTTATGTTGAATAAATGTCACATGGTGGGGTTTTAGAAAGTGTAAGACCAAAGACAGGCAGATGGTACTGCAGTCTGAATGGCAAAATAACAGATACGTTTGTGAAAAATGGAGAGGATGTATTAACTTCCTGTTCAAAGCTTTGAAATGGCACTTCCTGAACTATAAATTGGGTAAATTGAAAATGAGCAAATACATCAAAGCATGTTAAAGTGTTCTGATAAAACTGGTGACAAAGTATTTTAATGCAAGTGCAGTTTTGTGGTTTTGACCCTAACAAAAACGCACTGGGCCTCATTCACCAACATCTTTGTATGTTTATTCTTAAAACTGTTCTTGAGAAAGGTTCTAAGAAAAAGTCTGGGTCAGATTCATGACGTGTTCTTAAACCACAGAACTGTTCACACCTTTGTGCTCTTCAGTGTGTGTAGATTCTGTTCTCATCTAGGCTCAAGTTTGGTTTTTTGCATACTCAAACTAGACATTAAATGGTAACTCTTTATTTGGAGTGGTCCTTTGTAGATGATTAATAAACTCTTAACAGATTATCAGTAACACATTAATAACATATCCGTGAAGTATCAGTAGTGAATCATCTGAATACACTGAAGTAAATATCTTGTAGATGTTCTGTTGATACATTATTTACATTAAGTAGATGTGTTGTTAATGTGTTACTTCCATTACGCAAAACCTAACCTCACCAACCTTACCTAAAACCTAACACTCACTCTGGCCCTAATCCTAATCTTAACCTTAACCTCAACCCAAAACCTAATCCTAACCCTCTCCCTAATCCTAACCTTAACCTCAACCCAAAACCTAATCCTAACCCTCCCCCCGTGGCCCTAATCCTAATTTAACCTCAACCCAAAACCTAATCCTAACCCTCACTCTGGCCCTAATCCTAGCCTTAACCTCAACCCAAAACCTAATCCTAACCCTCGCTCTAATCCTAAACTTAACCTCAACGCAAAACCTAATCCTAACCTTAACCTCAACCCAAAACCTAATCCTAACCCTCGCTCTAATCCTAAACTTAACCTCAACGCAAAACCTAATCCTAAACTTAACCTCAACCCAAAACCTAATCCTAACCCTCGCTCTAATCCTAAACTTAACCTCAACGCAAAACCTAATCCTAACCTTAACCTCAACCCAAAACCTAATCCTAACCCTCACCCTAATCCTAACCTTAACCTCAAGCCAAAACCTAATCCTAATCCTAACCCTGGCCCTAATCCTAACCTTAACCTCAAGCCAAAACCTAATCCTAACCCTCATATGTTCTTGACGTGTTTGTTTCTCTAAAAGGACCACTCGAAATAAAGTGTCGCCCATAAAATCACACAAATATTTAAAATAACTCATAATTCATGTGAGTGATGTAATTCATGCACTACTAAACATAATAAAATGAAAGGCAGTTTGTGTTGAAAGTCTTTTTTTCACCTCAGCAAAATCTGAGACACTCTACGCCCCTGTCCAGGGAATGACCGCGTTTCTGAAGCCTGTGCTTTGGTCACTGACTCTTCATGTCTGAGGACTGTTGTCACGTGTGTGTGGACGTGAGTGGTTGTTTCAGCAGGTTTACTTTCACACTCTCAGCAGTCTGAGTGTAGAAAAGAGAAATAAGGTCACATGACTGAGGATTCTGTGTTTCCACTCATGACATGCAGCACTGCAGAAAGATGACCGTGCTTCCTCTCTGTCTGTGTGTGTGTGTAGGGGGTGGACGAGGGTCCTGATGGTCTGAAGCTGATATCAGAGGTGATTCGGGAGAAGCTGGGCATTAGCATGAGTGTGCTAATGGGCGCTAACATTGCAAATGAGGTGGCAGCTGAAAAATTCTGCGAGACCACCATCGGTAAGATCAACAGCAGCATTCATTAGGGCACTGTGCAAAAGTCAGAGACCACCCTTCATTTATTTAGTTTCCAGCCATTAGGACAAGTTATTCATTTCCCAGGAGATGCTTCTGAGCAGATTAGATATAAGATAATCCACTTGCATAAGGAAGGAGAAAATTAGAGAAAAACAAGTAGACACCAAAACTGTCCCCATCAGATAAACAGCACTTAAAGCTTTCATCTCTGAGAGAGAGGAGAAAATCAAGCTGCTTCAGATCTGAAAACATCCACAGGTGTTTCTGTCCATCCTTCCACTGTGAGAAGACGACTCAGCGCTGTGGGTCTGAAAGGATGTGTAGCTGTGAAGAAGAACCTCACTGAGAAAAGGAGACGGACACATCAAACAAAGAAGCTGGACAATGGACTGACCACCCCAGAGTCCAGACCTCAACACCTCTGAATGTGTTTGATTACTTCAGAAAATGATCAACCAACTTCTAAGACTGAACTTTGGAGGTGTGTCTGCAGATTTCTTAGAGAAACTGAAAGTGAGTCTCCAGAAAAGAGTGGAGGCTGTAAAATTGGATAAATTATTTAGTGCAATTTTTGGTCTCACTTTATTTGGATAGTTCACTATAGTTCACTATAGATTGTCTACAGATGTTCAAATTGTTAACAAACTATCCGCTGAAAGGCTGATTCTAAACTGGTGGGGTTTGGGTTAGGATTTGGACCAGGATGAGGGTTGAGTCTAGGTTTTGGGTTGAGGTGAAGGTTAGGATTAGTGCAGGTTTAGAGTTGAAGAAAATGATGGTCAGTTTAGTAGATATTTAGTTGAATGTAACTTGAAAGTAAATTAAATATCTACGAAGCGTCTAAAGCGGCCTATCCAAATAAAGTGTTACCCGATTTTCTGTTAAACATGTTTTCTGCCTTTCCTGATCCTGAAAGAGAAACAATGGCTGAGAATAAATAAATGAAGGGTCTCAGACTTTTCCACAGTGCTGTAAGGCTGTTATGATTAACTGAATTTCACATTCTCGATTTGGTAATGATTAGTTGGTGTAAAGCATGTTTTAAATTCTTTTACAGTTCTTTCTTACAGTTAGCAACAGAGCTTAATGGATCCAGCCATTTATACACATTTTTGCCATATAATATTTTTATATAGGTCTATTCTTGTTTATCTTTTTCAAATATAGTTTTTCAGAAAGGCTCTGCATGGTTTGTTATTGTTCAGTTAACTTTTGTTTTATAGTTTGCCCCTTATCTTTTAAATGCTCTGGTCACTCAACTAATTGTCAAGATAATCAGTGCATTAATCAGTCACCAATATAATCAATAATGACTGCCCTTATTATCATCTCTTTCCTAAGGTCTGCACAAGTCATACTTTCTGTGTTGTGTATTTGTGTCAGGCTGTAAAGAAAAGGCACACGGAGCACTGCTTAAAGAGCTCATGCAGACGGATCACTTTCGGGTCACTGTGGTTGAGGAAGCAGATGTGGTGGAGATTTGTGGGGCCCTGAAGGTTAGTTGACCTTTCACCTCATTTCTGCCTCTTTCTGTTGTTTTCGCTTTGCTTTCTCTGTACAGTTAGCAGTAGATTAACTGTCTGTCCAAAAGTATTCAGACAGCTTGTATAATCTCCATAGAAAAGCACTGACCAATGAGCCTAGAGGTAGGGGAGTTTAAAGTCCTGTGGCTGTGGAGCAGTGGAACTGTGTTCTCTGGAGTGATGGAGCTCAATCCAGTACCTTTGGGATGAGTTTGTGATCCAGAACTGGTCATCCAACAGCAGTGCCTGACCTCACTAATGCTCAATCAAATCCTCACTGCAATGTTCCTATATCTAGTGTAAAGCCTTCCCAGAAGGGTAGAGGCTGTTACTGCAGCAAAATAGGACAAACTCACTATTAATACCCTTCATTTCAGAAGAAGGGAACGTGTCCACAAACTTTTGGACACTTAGTGAACCTGAATTGGAATATGAAGTGCTGTTGCTCTGTTCTGCAGTTGCACAGTGATTTCTGCACTGCTGCAGGCTGTCCAGCAGAGGGCACTGAATCTCTGTATTAAGCCTCCTGCTGGCGTGAAAACTCACAGTGAAAGTTGTGATTTTGGCATGTTAATAAAGTATGATAGGATGAAAATAAAGTTTAATAAAGTATGCAGTAGTTTGCTGGCCAAAATAAAATTCTTGCTCTATTTTCAACCATAAAGAATCATAGCAAACTAAACGTAATAATAATTATTATTTAAAAAAATAGATTTCCTCATGCATTGAATCAATTACTTGAGGTCCAAAATTTGCACCACTAGTTATTACTGATCTGTCTCCATACTCAGAGATTAGGGTTAGGCTGATAGACAATACTATCGTCTGTTGATGACAGACAGTGTGGTCAATAAACATTATTATAATAACAAAACATTTATAGTGTTTTTTTTGTGTCAGACTGCCTGTCTTGGTAAACAACCAGCGTAAACAATGACTCAAAAATGACAATTTTATCCATAATTGTGAAAAGGCTACTGACCTTGGCACTGCACCTGAATGTCACTTGGGGCATTTCTTTATGATACAATACTCTGCCCACTCTTTCTTAAATGCATGTCAGAATAAAAGTCCTTTGTCATCAGTTGTGCCTCATGGCATTTGAATTCCCAATTTTGCCACGTTATGATTTTGAAAGTTTCAAACTGAAAATGATGTGAAAACATTTTAAAATTTATGATTTTATATCACTGAATTACCATTTTTAATAGTTAATCTGCATATATGATTGCACAGTCTTACCACCTGACATTTTTAGACGGCATAAATGGCATAAATTCATTTTATTTGATGCACATAAAGGCGATATTGTAGAGTAATGTGACGTGTCTTGTATTTATAAACTTTTTTTATATGAAAATAATGTACAATGCATGTCATTTAATTGCACCTTAGACAAGTGCATCACTAGTAAAGGAGGTTGTATCTCATTTAAATATTTTATTCTAGCTCAGTCTGAACACTGCAGGGTATAAAACTCCAGGCTTTCACAGTGTGAGAGGTGGGCTGTATTAGTACAGTGGTATTTATCCTGGGTGTCTGTATGTGTCCCTGTAGAACATCGTGGCGGTGGGCGCGGGGTTCTGTGATGGTCTGGGTTTTGGTGACAACACAAAAGCGGCAGTGATCAGACTAGGCCTGATGGAGATGATTGCCTTTGCGCGCTTATTCTGTTCTGCTGGCCCCGTCTCCGCGGCAACCTTCCTGGAGAGCTGCGGCGTCGCTGACCTCATCACCACCTGCTACGGAGGACGCAACCGCCGCATAGCTGAGGCCTTCGCCAAGACGGGAAGGGTGAGCAAAAGCCGTCTGAGGGCCTTCACGAACAACTGACTCAGCCAAACTCTGCCCACACATGCATTCTTTTTCTTAGTTACTGTTGCTAGGTTGGACAAGCTTTACAGAAAACCCCATTCAACCTAATGAAACACTGTAGCACACAATTCAGCTCAAGTAGAGTTGCATTGTTAGAGTGTATTATTCATTTCAAACAGTGTTGTGTGCTTGCAGCAGGTCATTATGTTCTTATGGTGGAATCAAGAGTGGACAGAGTTATAGGGCAGTTTGGCTGATGTCATTATAAAAAATCGTGAAAAAGCAAGGAAAAAAATCAAGAATAGAAAGAAAGTTGGCTACAAGAAACGCTTGGAAGCAGCGATTTCAGTCAAAGAGGTCGTCACTAAGTACTGACTGAAAGGGTCCAGTCTTATGTTCCCAAACTCAATTTTATGTTTTATTTTTTTTCCAATATGTTAAATAATAATTGTGCATTAAAATGTGCAGAGTTGTCATACTTTGTCATAGTTTGTTCCATGCAGAGGTAGTGTTCACCTCTTTTACTTCGAAAAGCAACAAAATGTGTAACAAGGAGTGTCCAAACTTTTGCACACAACTGTATTTCTCAGTTTGTGGGGAGTTTCCCTTTGTTGTACAGAGCTGATGGAAAATTATTCACATCATTTACATCACTGAGAGTCTGTATGTTTGTATGTGTGTTAGTCATTGGAGGACCTGGAGACGGAGATGCTGAACGGTCAGAAGCTGCAGGGTCCAGCCACGGCCGCCGAGGTCCATGTTATCCTCAAAAACAAAAACCTGCAGGACAAGTAAGACCTCACCACAAGCTCACATGTCATTTTTCATCACTGACATAGCAAAAGTTATCTTTTTTCAGTTTCTATAACTATTTTAGACACCAACTGCTGTTTGCATTGACTGAACATTTCATGATGAGCGGATCAACAGAAATGGTTCAAAATGACTTGCAATAAAACCTTGTTACACAGGAGATTTTTTTTTTCCTTTTTTCCCCTTGCCAGTCAGTTTTTATATACACTGTGTTGCCAAAAGTATTCACTCACCCATCCAAATCATTGAATTCAGGTGTTCCAATCACTTCCATGGCCACAGGTGTATAAAGCCAAGCACCTAGGCCTGCAGACTGCTTCTACAGACATTAGTGAAAGAATGTGTCGCTCTCAGGAGCTCAGTGAATTCCAGCGTGGTACCGTGATAGGATGCCACCTGTGCAGCAAGTCCAGTCGTGAAATTTCCTCACTATTAAATATTCCACAGTCAACTGTCAGTGGTATTATAACAAAGTGGAAGTGTTTGGGAACGACAGCAACTCAGCCACGAAGTGGTTGGCCACGTAAAATGACAGAGTGGGGTCAGCAGATGCTGAGGCGCATAGCGCGCAGAGGTCGCCAACTTTCTGCAGAGTCAATTGCTACAGACCTCCAAACTTCATGTGGTCTTCAGATCAGCTCAAGAACAGCGTAGAGAGCTTCATGGAATGGGTTTCCATGGCCGAGCAGCTGCATCCAAGCCTTACATCACCAAGCGCAATGCAGAGCGTCAAATGCAGTGGTGTAAAGCGCTGCCACTGGAGTCTAGATCAGTGGAGACGTGTTCTCTGGAGTGACAAACCACGCTTCTCCGTCCAATGGACGAGTCTGGGCTTGGCGGTTGCCAGGAGAACGGTACTTGTCTAACTGCATTGTACCAAGTGTAAAGTTTGGTGGAGGGGGGATTCTGGTGTGGGGTTGTTTTTCAGGAGTTGGGCTCGGCCCCTTAGTTCCAGTGAAAGGAACTCTTAATGCTTCAGCAGACCAAGAGATTTTGGACAATTTCCTGCTCCCAACATTGTGGGAACAGTTTGGGGATGGCCTCTTCCTGTTCCTACATGACTGCGCACCAGTGCACAAAGCAAGGTCCATAAAGACATGGATGAGCTAGTTTGGTGTGGAAGAACTTCACTGGCCTGCACAGAGTCCTGACCTCAACCCAATAGAACACCTTTGGGATGAATTAGAGTGCAGACTGTGAGCCAGGCCTTCTCGTCCAACATCACTGTCTGACCTCACAAATGTGCTTCTGGAAGAAGGTCAAAAATTCCCATAAACACTCCTAACCCTTGTGGAAAGCCTTCCTAGAAGAGTTGAAGCTGTTATAACTGCAAAGGGTGGGCCGACATCATATTAAACCTTATGGATTAAGAATGGGATGTCACTCAAGTTCATATGCATGTGAAAGCAGACGAGCAAATACTTTTGGCAATATAGTGTATCTGAATTTATTGTTTTTATTAAAACATCCAACAAAATTTGTATCAGTGTAAAATTAAACTGCTCACAGCTGAGCTAATTTATCTTTTATTTTAGGACTCATCACACCATCAGAGAAACTTTACTGTTACATTCTTGAGTATTTTTTAAGTGTAGAGTACTGTGCAAAAGTTTTAGGCACCTAGAAAAATTAGTACTAAAAAGCCATTTATCTGTGAAAAACACCAATATTACGAAAAATACAAATAATATTAATTCAGTAAGTAGTGATTTTAGGCATGCCCAGTATTAATTGTGGTTATTGTCCAACACCTGGTTTGGCCAACCAGTATTTTATTGTTATATCAGGTGTGCTGAAGGTATTTAAAAACCCATATGAAGGCTGGAGATGTCCAGAGTAAATGTGGAACCAGACTTTGGGCTTCATTCACCAACTTTTCTTGAAAAACATTTCTCCTTAAAACCCACTTATGCAGTTTTTTATGAAGACTCTGACATTAACCAGTGTTTTCTTATTTGGGGTTTGTTCTTAGGTAAGAACAGAATCTACACACACTCAAGAGCACAAAGGTGTGAACAGTTCTGTGGTTTAAGAACACGTCATGAATCTGATATAGACTTTCGCTTAGAACCTTTCTCAAGGACAAATTAAAAAAAAAACTAGGAAAATATTGGTGAATGAGGCCCTTTGTTCTTTAAACTAGCTCAAAAGACATCAGCTACTTTACTGTATTAGTTTATTTGCATCCATTTTAATGATATGTATAGTTTGTACATGCAAAATTACACTCATTACCAAGATAAATGGTTTTAAACAATGTGCTACATCACTAAAGTATATTTCTATCTCCACTTTTAATTGAGATTTTGACAAAGTACTTCTTCCACCTCTGATTTTCTATATGATGTGCACACCACACTGAGCTGCAACAAGCTGTGTAAGTCTTGTTTTGTGACTCTGACTCTCTCTCTGTCCAGATTTCCTCTGTTTACTGCCGTGTATGAGATCTGCTTCGAGGGTCGTCCTGTCACAGACTTCATCAGCTTCTTACAGAATCATCCAGCACATCTGTGAGAGTAAAGGACTCAGTCTGTATGTGCATAGACGTGCTTGGCCGACGTGCTGTGCCTTCTGTAGTGGCAATATCTCTGTTTATGAGTGTATATGGTGAGGGTGTGTATCAGATGCCCTGCGTCTGCTGTAGCAGCAATCAGTCTTCTTTACAACTTACTGTGTGTGTCTTAAAACTGAGCCTTAAAGTAACAGGACAGTGGCCTGGCTCATACAGAAGTATTATGATTGTGTATTATCATATATGGACCATTCTATTGAATTAGTTCAAACTGCGCTCGCACAGTAAAAAAAAAAAGTCAAGCCAAAGTTAGTTTATATAGCGCTTTTTACAGCAGTCATTGTCACAAAGCAGCTTTACAGAAAAATCCAAGTCCCCCTGAGCAGGCTAATGGCAACAGAGCAAGAGGAAGAAACCTTAAGACTCAAAAGGGGAACTCATCCCAAACCCAAACCCCTAAACTTGTGAAAATACATTTTTTTGTTTTAAGATCTTTTTGATTTCTTTTAAAGGGAAATTGAAAGATTTAGATTTATCATGAGTTCAATGTTTAAATAAAAAAACCTTATTGAAAAAATGCTGTCCCATGTTTTCGTGTCATTACTGAAACACAAACACAGTTTTTGTGCATAGGTGGAGACTAATTTTAGCCACGCCCCTGCATTTTAGAGCAGGAAGTGAGACTGCATCCCTGTCTAGAAATCTGATTATGAAATCTGATAAAGAGGCTGGATTTTAGCTCAGTAATCAGATTTCTCAGTGCACGTGAACTCTTACTCTGATTTCTTTCGGATTTCTCAGTCTGTGCATGTGAGAAAACAGGCGGCGGTACTGGAAATAAGCAGCAGTGTTGTCGTGAGATGCAGCAAACACTTTTGGAGTGACGCTGAAATCGACTACATGCTTGACAAAATGAAGGATTCCAATATATTTTATCTTCTAGATGATGTATGTTCATATTTTCAGGTAATATGGCGCAATTTTTTTTTTTAATTGGCCACGGCATGAAGTTTGAGTTTTACATTACGTTTGTCACGTTTTCTTCTGTGAGTTTATTGGCTGGTTGCAAATCTGATTACTGTCTGACTCATGTAGACCCGGAGTTTCCCCATTATCTGATAATGCATTTATATGCACTTGAGTAGTTAGGATTACTTACAAAATCTGATTTTCTGCATTTACCGGATTATTAAGTGCATGTAAACACACTCAGTGGACCTCAGGAGGAAAAAATACATACATACATATACATACATCATCTAAACCGCTTATCCTTCTGGGTCGCGGTGGGGTGCTGGAGCCTATCCCAGCTATCATTGGGCAGAAGGCAGGAAACACGCTGGACAGGTCGCCAGTCCATCGCAGGGCAGACAGACAGCATTTCCAATTGTCCTGACTGCATGTTTTTGGACTGTGGGAGGAAACCCACGCAGACACGGGGAGAACAGGCAAACTCCACACAGAAAGCACCCCGGTCGCCCGGCCAGGAATCAAACCCAGGCCCTTCTTGCTGTGAGGCAATAGTGCTACCCACTGTGCCACCGTGCCGCCCGGAAAAAATACAGTAGATGAAAAATGTAGGATATGGGCCCTTTAAACCTTCTATTGGAGTAAGTCTGTAATATACATTTTATATACCTATGATAATATATACCTATATACCTTTTATATTTCTAACAGTTTCTCATTAATCAATTCAGATTAGTGCTTTGACTAAGCCAAGAACATTGACTTTCTTTCTGAAGCCACACCACGGCAGATTGTACTTTGTTCGGATCGCTGTCCTGCTGGAAAATTATTTTCCCGTTTTATAGTTTGCCAAACTGACGCAGGTCCAATCTTTGCCAGTATTTAGTTCTATTTATTGTTTATTCTTAACAAACTTTCCAGTCTCTGCTGCTGGGAAAGAACATAATAGCACACTGCTGCCCCCACTGAGCTTCATTGAGCGAATAGTGTTGACTAATAAATGTGAAATGTTGTATTTTGGGTCTGTGTCTAACAGAACTGAGCAGAACATTGTATAAAAGTAGTGATGAATACTAAATACTGTCCTAAATGTAGTAACATATTTTGTTATAACATATAACAAAGATACATATTTAGAATATATATTTAGAATAAAGCTCATGGGGAAAAACTCTGTTAATGTCATTTGTACTTAAAGGAAGAATTCCATCGATTTTTCTGAATTTCTGCATAACTCAGTTATTGTCATTGTAGAGAAACTTAACGACTCTCTTTTTTTACAGTGTTGGTGATAGAAACCAGGGGTCACAATGTCTACAACATAAATATAGCCATTTACTATCCAAAACCACCACTGAACCTACATGTGTTCTGAGTTTTTATATGGGACGTTGATGATGGTAAAATAGTGGAAAATCTGAGAAATTTTTTTTTTTTTTTTTGACTATTTTTCCTCACAACACGCTGCATGTACCCCTTCACCATGAATGCATTTAAAAAATGTTTTTTAACTCATAATCCTATCACAAAACTATCATAAAACAAGGCATTGGTCAGCATATTCATAACTTTTGCATGTAATAGTGTAAAACTGTGTGGTGCTTTTTAGAGCAGCGATCACCAAATTCCTCCTGGAGATCTACCATCCTGCAGGCTTCGCCACCAACCCAAATCTAACACAAGGACTTGTGAAGGCAGAAATTAGGTGGCTCAGATGGGATCGATTAGGGTTGGAGCTGAAGTCTGTAGGAAAGCAGATCTCCAATAGCAGGGTTGGTGACCACTGTTTTAGAGGCATTAAATTCTTCAGACAGCTGCTTCCTATCACCACCACTGTGAACAAGTCTGACTGTAAGTTTCTCTAGAACAGAGTGTTTCACATAAACCCACTTCGAATGACTTTGCTTTCATCTTAATCATGTAGTTATGCAGAATTTTGGAAATATCAGTGGAATTCCCCTTTAATTTCCCTGTTACTGTCTCCAAAATCACGAAAATGTACTTTGTCCAGGGGCCAAACTTTTCCATATGACTGTGTTTCAAAGACGTTGAGATAATGGAGTTTCCTCCAGTATTCAGACGCTGGTCAGGCTGTGTGATGCTCCGCTTCTTGTTTAGGTAATAGAAGATGAAGACAAGGATTTCCTGAGACTTCGACACCGTTTGCTCTCGTCTCCTGTTCTGTGTTTTAATCCACGTCTTGTTTTGAATGCTGCTTCATGATTGATTTTGACTGAAAAACCAAACAGCTGTTTAATTTAATTAAAACACTTAAACACTTACAGCAACAATGCACATGAACTATGCAGGGGCTTATTTATTATATCCTTATTCAGGATGGTCACAGCAGAGGGCGTCATTTTTTGTATCCACTCTTTCTGGCTTGTGGGACCTTAAACGATTAATGAAGGGGGTTTGTAGGGTCCTTGTAGACCTGGGTTGCCTTTTTGCTTATGAATCAGATGTATAAGCTTTGGAGTGACAGTTGTTTGTCTCCAATGATCCTACTGGCCTGGTTGACCACTTGGGCCAGCTTGTTTCTTTGCTTAACTGAGAGGTTCCCATACCAGGACACAATGTTGAAACTGAGAACACTCTCTATAAGTGACCTGCAGACCATGATCAGAGTATGTTTGCTGGTGTGAAAATTCCTCAGCTTCCTGAGAAGACAGAGCCTCTGCCTCGCCTTTTTGTAGACACAATCTACGCTGGTCTGAAAAGTGAGTCTACTGTCGATAATTGTTCCCAGATATTGAAAGTGAATGACTTGTGCAAAATGTCGTGTGCAAAAGTTTGGGCATGTTTTGTTGACATCCTCCCCAGAGAACAAACTTCTGCATGTTTTAATGCACAATTACTGTTTATTTGCTGAATTGAACATATTGGGAAAAATAATCTTAAAATGTGGCCTGTGCAACATTTTATGTTTAATTTTTCTATTTTTGCAACATGTTAAACTCAGCAAATAAACTGAAATTTTGCATTAAAATTTACAGAAACATGGCATATTTAAGTGTATTCCCTGCAGTGGATGTGTACTTATTTTCAGTTAGACATGTTTGACCAGGGGGTGTTAAAACACTGCCATACAGCTGTTTTTTATTATTTTATTCATTTCACATGTCTATTTCCATTGTTTAAGAATAAACACTGCAGTCACTCTATAAACACAGTTACAGCTTTAGAATACTGTGTACACCAAATACAATGCTAAAGTCCTGTGCTGTAGCACTAAACCAAGCCTGTGAGTGTGACTGTGTTCCGCCCAGAGATGCTGTCACTGGTAGGCCAGTCAAATAGGGGGAATTTTTTATCATGAAGAATTTTTCAAGACAACGAAATTTGACTTGTTTTCTGAGAGTGCCGTCACTGTATTATAGCCAATCAAATGATTATGCGCTCCGCCTTACTTTCCTCAACCTTCCAATCACTGCACAGCAACCGTTACAATCCGCCATCGTTCAAAGCTGTTTGATTGAGGCGCCAGTGTTTGAATTTGAAGCTCCAGCTGCAGTTAAAAGATGAAACTAGGGTTGTTTAAAAGTGAGATTCTGTTCCGTAGAGTAGGTCATTTTCTACCTATCCAAAACTGAAAAAAAATTCTTTTCAGTTTTAGTCCTGATGTCTGAAATCGAGTATTACCTCAATGAACTTTGGGTCCACCTGCTGTGGCAGTTCAGCCTTGGATGATTAAGTTTAGGTTTTTAGAGTTTGCAGTGTTGTTTCTCCCCACCTCTGTGCACCTCTGCTGTCTGATTTAACATTAGTTACGTTGAGTTCACTGGGCAAACGTGCCTGTGATGAGCGGATGCATGCTTCATAGTCTTGTGAATCCAGTTGATTGCCAGAATGAGGTGATGTCACCACAGGGTGTGGAAGTGTTGGAGTTGGTAGGGTGATGACTGCGGGGCTCTCAGGAACAGGCTACAGCCTGATGTAATGACAGCACGTTAGGAAGTTGTATCTACCAAACTGCCTTCCCATTTTTTTACAGGCCTATTCAATAATGTATTCTGTGTATACCACTAGTTCAGCCTGAGCAGGAAAAGATTTTGAACAGCACTGAATGTTCTCATAGAACATTCTGTGAAATAAATGTGGGTTTTTTGTCAATGAGCCACTCCAGACTCTGTTTTTCATTATGTCATTTGTTGCAGGATACCGGATCATTGTTACAGAGCATGCCTGACCTCAGAAGCACTGCACCTACATGTCAAAGCAAGACAGGCATTTAAATGAATTTTATAAGCAGACACAAGTACATAAGAACACTGTGTGGTAAGTACAAAACTGTGATTTATTGATAACAGCTGTGAAATTGACATGTTATCATTTTTCTTGTATTTTATTTTAATGCATGTGCAGTTTTATGTACCATGTTTTTTTTTTTTACCATTTTCCAACCTCTGTTTTTGTTACTGTGCCACTGAAGGGCTACATCATGGTAAACTGAATTTTCCCTCATGTTTTTTAAAGGTCCCCTCACTTTTTTGAGATGATTATTGTATCAGCACTTGTAAACAATCAAACAACAACCAAAAAAGTAACAGATACTATCTTAGGTGTGCAAGCAGAATGTTCTGTAAGAATTAATGTACTCTACTGGTCAAAAGTTTGGTATCACTGATCATATTGATAATTAGTATTATTTTATTCAATAATAACTCATATAGTGTAGATTAAACAGTAAGACACCGGAAGGTGTTATAACATTTTTCATTGGGAACATGAAGTCATCAAATATTAATATTAAATAGTAAATTGTAATTATCCCTTTATAGTAATTCTTCATACACTATATGGACAAAAGTATTGGGACACATCTATTAATCACTGAATTCTGGTGTTTCATTTAGTCTCAGGTGTATAAAATCAAGCACCTAGTTTGTAGAGGCAGTCTGCCTCTACAAACATTAGTGAAAGAATGGGTCGTTCTAAAGAGCTCACTGAATTCGAGCGTGGGACATGCCACTGTTGCAACTTGAAAAGTGGAAGCATTTAGGAACCACAGCAACTCAGCCATGAAGTGTCAGACCATGTAAGATTACAGAGCGAGTTACTGAGTGCTGAGGCACATAGTGCATAAAAGTCACCAACGCTCTGCTGACTCAGTAACTGCAGAGCTTCAAACCTTCTCTGGCACCAACATCAGCACAAAAACTGTGCGCCAGGAGCTTCATGGCATGGGTTTCCACGGCCGAGCAGCTGCATGCAAGCCTTACATCCTCAAGCACAATGGCAAGCGTCAGATGGAGTGGTGTTAAGTGCTGCCACTGGACTATGGAGCAGTGGACACGTATTCTGTGGGGAGTGATGAATCACACTTCTCTATCTGGCAGTCTGATGGACGAGTCTTGGTTTGGTGAACACCAGGAGAACATTACTCACCTGACTGCACTGTGCCAACTGTAAAGTTCGGTGGAGGAGGGATGATGCTATGGGGTTTGCTCTCAGGTGTTGGCCTATAGGCCCCTTAGTTCCAGTGAAGGTAAATCTTAATGCTTCAGCACCAAGACATTTTGGACAATTGTACACTTCTAACTTTGTGGGAACAGTTTGGAGAAGGCCCTTTACTGTTCCAGCATGACTGAGCCCCAGTGCACAAAGCAAGCTCCATTAAGGCTTGGCTGGGTGAGTTTGGTGTGGAAGAACTTGACTGGCCCTCACAGAGCCCTGACTTCAACTCCATCGAACACCTTTGGGATGAACTAGAACGGAGATTGTGAGCCAGGCCCTCTCGTCCAACATCAGCACAAAAATACTCTTCTGGGTGAATGAGCAAAAATTCCAACAGACACAGTACAGAATCTTGTAGAAAGCTTCCCAGAAGAGTCCATATTATTGCCTATGGATTTAGAATGGGATGTCATAAAAGCTCCTGTGGGTGTAATATGTAGGTGTCCCAATACTTTGTTCATACAGTGCAAGTTATCTGCTTAAGATTTCATCACCACTTTTCAGTTTCAAGGCATTCTGGATGGTAATTTGGGATGGGATGGTTTTATTTGACGTTAATTCTCAATGTTTTACGACTTTTAATGACACCATTCTGGACATATTTCTTCATTTTTTTTACTGTTCTTACTTTTACAGAATCCTATTAGAATCATATTCTATTAATCTTCTGCAAAAGTGGTTTCATATTATTTAAAACAGTAATTCCAAGCTTGTGAACAGTGGAGTACGCGGAGCATAAAGTCGGTATAAAAAGGCTTTAAAATTTAAGCAATGTTGTAGTAGATATTAAAATGCACACACTGCATTATTCATAAATGCTTCACAGTTAATAAGGCAGTAATAATAGATCTTCTGCAGTGAGTGATCGTTTTGCACAGTTTTCGATCTTCTCAATTACAGGCACTCATCGTGTGGACCTGGCAGGCCTGGTGTGTCCACTCGCACTGAGCTGTGCTAGTATCGTATATTTGGGCAGGTGTCCATCAGCTCGAACACGTCCTCACTGAAGTCATTATACTGCAGGCTGGAAAAAAGAAACCGAGTCAGAGAGAAATGAACTGCAACACTGAATAGCAGTTTATATTCAGATACCACTGCAGTGTGTTCTGTAGAGCTAAAATGCATCTGAAGGTGGTGATTCAACTGCATGGATTCTGCAATCCTACAATCGACTGTCATCAGTTATTATAATATTCAAATATGCACTGTTTTTTTGGTCAAAATAAAACATTATGGCTATTTTCAGATGTAAAATCCCCCCCCAAAAAACTAGTTGATGTTTTTTTGATCTACTGTGTTCCTCCAATCACATTTGTGTTTTCACTGTGTTTTTAAAAGTAATTCTGAATTTCACAATTTGTCAGTAGGGGTGTCATGATATGCGTGTTAATATTAATTTTTCTTCCAATACGGGGGTTGTAAGACAATACATGCTGTGAATCAAATGCAGTTAGATTTTACGATATAAAATGTGTGATATCGGAATAGTTTCTATAGTTATATTCGAAACAATCGATGATATTCCTAAAAGTGATAATCACGAACGTTAAAAAAAACTCTGCTGAGATCTTTCAGAATTGGAACAAAACTGGTTTGGTAAGCCTACCTTGGATGAAGCTTTAGTTAGCTTCTTATTTGCCAGCTTCTGCATACATTCTGTATATTTTCCATTCCACCTCCAATGGTGCAGCAGTTACACTCTGGAGTTAAATAAGAAGCTGGCGAATAAAAAGCTACCTTCAGCTTCGTCTACCTTGGATGGTTGATTACTCAAGCTGTTTGAAAGGTTGGGCAGAAAGAGGAAACTTTAGCTGGGAGAAGCTAAGTGAACTCGCATTTATCAAGAAAACTTCTGCTAGTTATCCCTTCAACAAGCACTGTTATCCTTTTGGGGGAAAAAATCTCAATAAATAAATGTGAAAGTTAATTCTGTACAGCCAATCAGAATGGAACCCACAAAATCCTGATAGTTGTGGCCAACATGGTGGTATACCGAGGTGGTGTCCCAAGAAACAGACAAAAATGAACCAATCAAAATTGTTTATTCATCATCGAACTGACCAATGACATTGTGCTTCGCTTTGTGACGCTTCTTGAAGTAAAAAATTTAAATGGGTATATGCAGAAAAACATCTTCAGAAGTCAGTACATGGAAAAAAGCCCAGTAAAAAAGTCAGAATATAGTATAAACGTGTATATACTCGACTACACCACTGAAGCTAACACTCCTGCACACTGATATGACATCACAAGACTGGCAACCACTCCAAAATACCCAACACAAACCAGAAAGCTTTGTCAAATGTGGGAGTTAAGCTGCTTTGGCTGCAGTAGCCAACAGCTTGAGTTGCTGGTGTTTTTATATAATAGAGCTAAAGTAGCCTTACTTTCACGCAACATCAATAGGATGTCACTTCAACGTGAGCTTCCTTGCAGCATATATGTACATTATCTGTATTTCAGAAACCTCGTAATTCAAAGGATCCATCATTTGAGGAAAAAGGTTCTCAGGACAACAAGTTTACCATAAGGTGTAGAGAAAATTGCTTAGACGCAGAGTTCATTATATGAGCGTGTTGCCAAGTACATACTTACTTGAGCTCTTTTATGATTGGATGGTCCTGAACGAGTTTGACCAACCGGGGCACAGAAATGTCGGTCAGGCTGTTGTTCTTCAGAATAAGGGTTGTTAAGGAGTTGCTGGCGGCAACTGCTTCACACAGCTCGTCCACACAGGTGTCGGTCAATGAAATCATTTCAAGACTGCAGAGATGTGACAGAATCAAAAACAACAACAGAAAGTTTTTACTATGTAAGGATGTGGCATCTGTACGAGTCTAGGTGCTGCGGCTCATAGGAAAGAAATGTAAAAGATCTCCTTAATATCTCTGTAGTTTCTCCTAGACAACTTTGAGGTCAGGAGACATTAGCTTCTCAGATATTTCTCCTGAAAAAAGACCCAGTAATCTCACAGTCTCCTCTTGAGTTTTAGTAGTGATCTCACACATTATGCTCAGATTTGTTTATCTGCAACTGAACTCTCATCTCTTCTTCATCTCTCCTATATCTTAAGTCTTCTTTCTGTCTAATGCTATTTCTCCCAACGAATTTTATAAGAATCACCATTAAATCTCCTGAGCCATCAAAGAGCAACATTTGAGCAACAAAATGTTTCCTGATAAGGCTGCATGAGTCTGTGCAGATTCACTGCTGTGAGTATGCTTGTGTATTTAGGACTCACTCCAGATGGTGTAGCCTGCAATGAGTGTGTTTCAGGGCCTTCCAGATGTGTTTGGCTCCAGCATCTCCTACTGGTTGTATTCCAATGGCCAGCTCCTTCAGTCTGGACGTCCCAGACACTAACACGCTGCCCAGTGCGCTGAAAACTTGCTCCGTCAGCTCACAATTTTTCATACTGATACAAAAACAACAGCACCGACACAAAGAGTTGTGTGAGTAAGTACAGGGAAGGAAAGTTTAAGGTCTAAACATTTTAAACCGCCATAAATATGTAGGTAAACGTACTACCAACATGATGTTTGGGTGTTTTTCAAAATAACCACATTATAGAATGGGGCGCTTTTGGCTCTTGAGAGGTCCCCCAGTTGTGTCTTACCCACTAACTCTATTTCCAGGGCGAAGCTGAGCTGGGCCAGGGACATTATAAAGGAGGAGGAGACAGTTCACTGGTTGAATTAATGGGAAAACACATAAAACTCAACATGGAGTCTTTTTACAGAGAAAGCTCTCGCCCTTTAGTCAAAAGAGACAATCAGCTTTCATGGAAAGCTGCAAGCGGGAAAAGCCCTCTCCTGTTGTGGAGATATGGACAGTAGCCAGAATAAACTGAAAAACAAGTACCGTGTGTTATTTAAGCCAAATTGAGACAAATGATTTATGCAATGTTTATCAGATTTCACCAGTATTTTACCATTTATCTTTGAAAACATTATCATAGGTTTCTGAAGCATTAATATGGTTTATAGTTTCAGCTCTATAGTCTAGATCTTCTTTGAGTGGAAATAACTGCCATGGGTGTTGCTGTCATGGCCACTGAGTAGGCCAGTTTTCTCTACTAATGACGGAGTGAAAATAAAGCATAATCATTATACACGCCAACCAAGAGGACACATGTAAAGTCACAGTGAACAAAGGCAGGGGATATCTTTGCACATGATTGGACTGTTTGGTGCAGTTTTCTCCTCTTAAAATCACACCAAAGAGAACCTTCCAGAATTCCCACGTACATAATGCTAGTTATTTATCAATAATCACTTTATATGTTACCCAGCACTGAGCCTGGCAACAAAAATAAACAACAAATACAAAGTAGAACACAATGACACTCCAGCAGCACCAAAACCACATTTTAGGATTTTAAGATCGTTTACCACAGAGCGCCCTCTAGAGTCAAAATCCCTGTTACGTAACATCTATGTGACACCTTTAATACACACCACAGCTTCTCTAATGGACATTTAGGGGGATCTGAGGGCATCACAGATGAGGAGAGCTCCTGCTTGGTCAAGTTCATTGACGGACAGATCCAGCTCGGTCAGACAGCAGTTATGTGATTGGAGGACTGCGGCTATGGAAGGGCAGCATGAAGCAGTCAGCTCACAGTCAAATAACCTGCAGAAGAAAAAAAACACACATCTCCAGCTTGATCATTTCCAGTTAGAAAGAGGTGTTAGTCAGTGTTAATCAGGTCTGTATAAAGTTACTGTGAGTATAAAGCTGCTGTATTCAGATATGTTTTCATGTGTATGCAACCATTTTTACTGTTTCGTGCTCATGTGTATAGACAGTACTGTGCAAAAGTCAGAGACCACCCATCATCTTCTTAATCTTCAGTCAAAACAGCCATTAAGTGTGAGTTATTCATTTTCAGCTTCAGCCCTAAATATAATATCAGATTTTTCTGTAAAAGTGTGTCCACCCAGCTTCAGTGTTCAACTCTAAAATGTAGGAATCTGTTTAATTGACCTTCATTAACTGAATAGGAGGATATATGTAAATGTGTTGTTTTTGTGACATCACAAATTCAAAATGTGCTGTTTTTGCAGCTTAGTTTCCATATATGGACTGTATGGACTGTAAGTTTTGAAACTTTAACAGTGTTTACATTCTACATTTTAAATAAGCCAAGAAAATTTTGGCTTGCCATGGTATGGACCCTTTAATATTCCAAAGTTTTCCCTCTAATTATGGTAATGGGTGGATCATTTTCTAATAATTTAGCTATAATGAAGCTACACTCTTAAAAATTAAGGTTCTTTAAGGGTTCTTTAGTAAAGAAAGAAATGGTTCTATATAAAATCATGAACACTCAAAGAACCCATTTGCATGATCAAAGGGTTCTTTGCATCATTAAAGTGTTCTTCAGATGGATGGAGAATGTTCTGTAGATGGTTCTATATAGAACATTTTTGAAAAAGGTTCTATACAGCATTAAAAAGCTGTCAAGCCTGTAACAATAGAAGAACTCTTTTTGGTGCTATACAACCTTTTTTGAAAAGGTTCTATATGGAACCATATAAAACCCACTCTCTATCAATCTGAAGAACCATTTAACGATGCAAAGAACCCTGTAATCATCCAAACAGTTCCGTGAGTGTTCAAGGTTCTATATAAAACCATTTTCTTTACTAAAGAACCATTGAACAACCATCTTTTTTTAAAAGTGCAGTTGGTGGTCATCGTCCTCATTATAGCGATGTCTCTGGGACATAATGTTTAACATCTGGATTCCCTGACCTGTAACCAGCCCCCCCCCCTAAAATGAAATTCTAGTTACATCACTGGTATATTCTACAGTACATGAATGTGTGTATGTTATGTGTGCATTACTGCAGTGCGCTGAGGCTGCAGCGGCCGGTCTGCAAGGCCTGTGAGAGAAGCTCCAGAGTGTCTTCAGCCAGCTGGTTCCAGTTCAGGTTCAGCTTCTTCAGTTCAGAGAGAGAAGAGCTTACAGCCGACGACAACAAAGCAACACACTCCCCGCTCAGAGAACAATGATCTAGACTGTGGAGGACAAACACACACAACGTGCTCATTAGAGCTGTTTAATTCCACGAAATTTTGTAGTCAACTCTGATTTCCACCATGTCTTAGTCTAATAGTGTTATGACTGATTTACTGCCACTGACGTTCTCACTGCAGGTTTGCTTTGAGAAGCTATTTCTTTGGCTGATGAAGGAAGGAACGTTTATGGACTATTGTAATTGGCTCAGAGGTATGTCAATCATAATATTGCAAATGCTCATTTGGAGCCCTTTAAAGGGAAACAGTCACATCTGGCTATTTTTACTGCTTTAATTTTGTAATGTTGTCAATCACTCCCTGTAGTAACTAAATGAGCCTACCTGAGCTTTTTTCTCAGTACAAATGTTGTTCAGGTTATTTGTAGCACCTCTGACTTTTTAACTGTTACCTCTTTCACAGTCTTTGCAGCTCTGTTTGATAAAGACTGACTTTTCTCATGCACACCATTCAACAGAAAGTCTGTATATTGACGGACTCAGAATAAAAAATGTGTTATGATTTACGAATAAAATAACTCAATGATGTAAATAATTTTGACATGAGGGGACCTGGTTATGCCAGATATAGCGATTCCACCACCAGCTGTAAACCCTGGGAGATGTAGGAATCAGGCTTTATTTGTTTTTGAATAAAAAGCTCAATATCTTTAAAAATTTCCAAAAATAATTCACAGTTTGCGTTTTGAATGTTAATTTCGAGGGCTGGAAAATTGGCCAAGCTTATTTGTCAGTGTGGCTGCTCCCCTTTAAGTGTATCCTTCCTAGTTGAAATCGGGAAACTTCCCAATCATGAATTTGAGTGTGCGTGTGAGAAAGAGAGTAAACCTGAGGTCCTGCAGTCTGCAGCTGGACGTCCCCAGAGCGCCGATAAGCTGAGTAAGGCCCTGGTTCTGTAGCTTATTTCCTCCCAGGTCCAACACACACAGCTTAAAATCAGACAGCATCTTGCCGAGCACCTCACCGCATGCAGGAGTCAGACTGCACGTCCTCAAACTACATACACACACATAGTGAGAATCAGACCAGCTGTGAAAAGTTTCTTGTGTTGTTATGTTTTTTTTAGATAAAAGAACAAGAAATATACACTACTGTGCATAAGTCAGATACGATTCCAGTTAAAACTATCATTATGAACAAGCTATTCATTTGTCAGGAGATATTTCTGAGGAGATATAAGAGAAAGTCAAATGGAAATAAATCAGCTTGCAAAACTGGTAGAAAAAAGCTTAAAAGCTACAGAGAACATGAGACGCCTAACAACCAAAACTGCCCCCGTCAGATAAACAGCACTTAAAGCTTTCATCTTTGAGAGAGAGGAGAAAATCAAGCTGCTTCAGATCTGAAAACATCCACAGGTGTTTCTGTCCATCCTTCCACTGTGAGAAGACGACTCAGCGCTATGGGTCTGAAAGGATGTGTAGCTGTTCAAGAAGAACCTCACTGAGAAAAGGAGACGGACACATCAAACGAAGAAGCTGAACAATGGACTGACCAGCCCAGAGTCCAGACCTCAACATCACTGAATGTGTTTGATTACTTCAGAAAACCAACTTCTAAGACTGAACTTTGGAGGTGTGTCTGCAGATTTCTTTGAGAAGCTGAAAGTGAGTCTCCTGAAAAGAACAGAAGCTGTAATGAAGGTAAAGAGTATTTCATTAAATACTGTAAAAATGATTAGAATTAGACTTTGATGATGCTGTGTAATTTTATGTTAGATGCATTTTCTGTTTTTTTCCTGACCCTGAAAAATTGAATAACTTGTACTTAATGGACATTTTGGCTGAAAATAAAAAACAAGGGTGGTCTCTGACTTCTGCACAGTACTGTAAGAATTAAGAACACAGATGAGAATAAAGATTCAATAAAATATAATAATTAGGGCTGTTAATTGGTTCAAATAACAGTTTGTTGATTTTTTTTTAATCCATCGTCCTCCTTGCAGCACTGTCCAGTGTAGTCTGCTGAAGTCGTCTTCTGGTAGTATGGTTCCTGATATTGTTGATATTGCCACGAGTGTGACGTTTTACTTAGTTAAGATTTGACGTCCTTCAGTGATAAACAAATTCACCTTTGCAGAAGTTGGAAAAAGGCCTGGTTTTGTTAGTAGAGCCATCAGTGGTACTTAAGCCATTTGAAAGCTATATTTGAACACTGATGAATACTTTTGAGAATACCTTGGGTGGCAAACAAATATATCGGTGACCAAATCAAGCCTCGCCCTCTCGTCTGAAGCCCAGATAACTAAACTGAAACTGTCTTATTTTGACATAATATGAGAAGAAACAATTAACTGAAGTGACAATTATGCTTGAAATTAGATCTGAACAATTTGGGGAAAATATCTAATTGCCATTTTTCTGACCAACATTGCGACTGCAATTAATAATATTTTAAAAGCAATTCTTTTATATAAATAAGTTCCAGTTCGTTTGTTTTCCTGAAAAAAAACAGCACATCCATTTTTTCAGGCTTGAGCTAAACCTGAATGTGCCAGACTGTTTACAAGCTGTGTGTTATTATGTTATATTTACTCACTTAAAACTTGTTGACAATGTTGAATAATGTAAAATATAATTAAAATCATTGCAACACTTGCAATAAGAATTTTTTTTAAATATTAAAAATTGCTCCGCCCTGCTTACAACAGCTGAAGGTGAACGAGGAACAGCACAACCAGCAATGAGATGGATGGAGACAATCAGAGAAATAATGAACCAGCCATTCAGAGGCCTGAAGACCCAAACAGAAGACAGGATATTCTGGAGTACACTCTTAAAACATTTCTTCAAGGGTTCTTTAGTAAAGAAAATGGTTCTTTGAAGAACCATTAACACTCAAAGAACCCTTTGCATAATTAAGGGGTTCTTTGCATCATGAAAAGGTTCTTCAGACTGATGGAGAATGTGCTGTAAATGGTTCTATATTAAACCTTTTTGGTTCTATATAGCACCCAAAAGGGTTCTTCTCTTGTTACAAGCTTGACATCGTAAAAATAGAAGAACACTTTTGAGTGATATTTAGAACCCTTATCAAAAAGGTTTTATATAGAACCATCTACAGCACATTCTGAAGAACAATTTAGTCAGGCAAAGGGTTCTTTGAGTGTTCATGGTTCTTTATATAAACATTTTCTTTACTAAAGAACCTTTGAAGAACCATCTTTTTAAGAGTGTAAGAAATGACATCACAGCGCTTAATAACAATAAAGTGCAGCTTGTGTTTTTAAATGGTGTAAAAATAAATAAATAAATAAAAAGAGAGTTTTCTTATGACATTGATGGGTTGTTTTCTGTTTGTGTCTTGGTGAAGAACATACCAGAGCGTGTGCAGGTTTGAGTGGGTGAGGGATCGACACAGGATCTTCAGTGCTTCAACACTCAGTATGGAGCTGGACAGGTCCAGCCAGGTGGTTTGTCCATCCATCATCGCCCGGGCGAGGTGCGTGATCACCCCTGAGCTCAGACGACTCTGAGACAAACTGAGAGGTCAAAGTTCCCACATGAACAATGAAACAATATGGACAGCAATGAAAATTAACAAGGAACAAATGCAAGCGGTGGCATCACTTCTAGCAGAAAGTTTTAATGATTTTAACATACAGAATAAAGTACAGGGGCCAGTGCTGTAGAATTACTTTGTTCATTGAATTCTATGCAAATGCAAGTCATGTTCACATATCGTACTGTTTTCTATTGTATTTTGATTTATTTGTTAAAAATCTGTGGCTTACCATACCAAAGTCAAAAGGTAAATTTGTACAAAATGTGTAAGACATATCTTTTTTAAGACCCCAAATCTATTATAAATCGAGGCCATTCTAAAAGCTGTCCCATTTGTGTTTGTGTTCTTTGCGCAAAGTGCTTGTACCCCGATGATCGCCACGTGATTTCATTTGTAGACGGTTTCTTAGCTCTCAGTCCACTGAAATCAACATGTTCTACATCTATTTCAGATTGTAACTAAAAAGAAGCTGGTTGCTAACAACGATAACTTGTTAATTTTTTTTCACCCAATGTTTAAAAGCTACTAATGAAAAAACATCTGAATATCTGAAAAATGACGTCAACTTCAACGCTAACGGAAATCCTAAAATTAAATACTCTTCAAATCTACACAATTCACGCCAATCGCATATTCAGCATTCAAAACAGCCAACTAAAGGTGAAAAGTTTCCATGTGTGTAACAGTGAAGTTCCTGATTCGTGCCTGGACTGAGTCAAATGTCAGTCTCCCTCATGTTTGGCACAATGGCATTATCCACTACACTATCGAATCCCTCCTGCAAAGGCCAGCACCGACAGAAGCCTTGGCTTCAGAAAGGAAAAAAGACCATATTGCATCAATCAATTTTTTCTCCCACCCTAATAAAATGCTGTCTCCTATTCACACCCTTCTCCCACCTCCTCTACCACACATTTACCTAACATCCCCCCAGCTGTGACTCACTTGATGGATTTGGCCAGGCGGAGGGCAGGTATGAGCTTCTGCGCCTGCGCGTCCGTCAGCTCACTCCTGTACAAGTTCAGGTGCTCCATCTCTCCCAGGCAGCGCACTACAAACACCAAGCCCGCGCAGTCCGGCATCTGCAGGCCAGCATAGCTGATCGCCCTCCACTTGCAGGCCCCCACGGTCTCTCTGACCAGCGCGGGGCTGCGTGCGTGATGAAGGAGACGGAAAACACAACAGTGCTTTTCTTTCTCGAAGCCTGGCAGCACCTCCACGACTAAGCTTATCAGCCACTGGTGGAACTCTGAGAGACGGCCGCTGCTGAGCTGCCCGATGGAGGCCTCCAGAAGCTTCCGCTGCGCTGGGTCCGAAAGCCCGGCCAGAAACATCTGATACAGGTCTGGTCCGTCTTCCAGGATTCTGGCTTCATCCTGTTCAGACTGGAGAGCTGGGAGACAAAATTCAAGATCATTATTTCTAAATATATCTTAATATATGTCAATATTTATCTTCACACGAATATAATGAGATGATTTGACTGAACTTTTTTAAATCAAATTATTAAAATGATATCAGACTTTACCCAAAGTCTGTACAATAGTGTGCAATAAAACATAAATAATAAAATGTTTTATCATTGCTCTGTGATGGACTGGTGACCTGTCCAGAGTGTTTCCTGCCTTTCACCCACTGATCACTGGGATCGGCTCCAGCACTGCATGCAACCCAGGAGGATAAGCAACTTTTCCTTTTTTGCACAATTTGAAAACTCCAGTTATTTAATAAATTGATTTGTATTGTAATAAGTCATTAAGAAGTTATTTTGGACAATTTCTATTGGTCCGTTCATTCTGAAATTTTGACAGTGTAAACAGCAGTCGGCATTTTTAAATTATGTAATTCTCACATTTCTATTCTATATTATTGGAAAAATTAACATCTTTTAAATGTAAACAAGCATATTGTCATGTTAACTGTCAAATTTCTCACAAAAACAAAACAAAAAACAATCACTTTGCTTTCTGCTTTTGATGGTGACTGTTAGACATTTTTGTCCCTTGTTTGGCAGCTAAGAAAACTATTAAGTCTGTGCTCTATAGCCCCCTCGTTGACACCCTGGACCAGGTCAAAACATAGTCGACAGATTAATCAAGTAGCACATATACAAAAATCATTGGTTGAGCCCTAAACTGGTCGGCTTGTGAGATTGCGTGCAATATATTACCACCCAAAGTGCTGCCTTGTGTTGCTGCAGAATGTTCTAAAGCTGGACAACATGTTTAGACTGATATGAACACTGCACATGAAAGGGCTCATATCATAGAAAATCAAATTTGATGTAGTACATGAACATTATTACAGTTTCAAAACATACCATTCACTTCCCAGTCCACACTGAAAATTAAGCTTCAGAAACAGGCCGTTTTGAATTCATGGTTTTTATGATGTCACAAAAACGAACCTATTTACATATATACACCAGCCTACAGAAGTTTAAGTTATAAGGAGTGTTTTAGCCTGGGCTGCTTTTTGAATGAGGCACAGTGCAGGGCAAGCGATCAGAACAGAGGTCATTACCCCTCTGGTTTGCGTGTTCACGTCTAGGGGTAGAGTGTCCTCATTTTAGTTGAGATAGAGGGGCAGGGAGAAGTGTTAGGGCTACATGGCCCTCCACACGGAGGTTTTTCAGAGACACTCCAAACAGAGTGTTATGAGAAAAAAAGAAAAACTAGCAAGATGGCTGCACGAGCGACCAAAGAAACCCACAACTGTGAGAATTTTCTCTGTTAAAAAATTACGATAACCTTTGTATTTTCTTAGTTTCATGTTGTTTTAATGTATTATGGTCCTTTTCTTCATAACAAGCATAAAAAATCACTAGTAGTATGCTGATGTCTCGGTAGCTAGCTAGCAAAATTTCCCATTCCACCTGTTCTGATGCCTAAAGCGCCAGAATGTAACTGCTGCACCATTTAAGGTGGAACAGGAAAACCTGAACGAGAAGCTGGCGAATATCTGATTTCAGCTTCATATCACTGAAGAATTAGGGGTGGGCAATAATAAATAATTGTTCCCCCCTCTTTGAAGGTACATGATTCCCTAAATGTAACTAAAGCCCAGCAGTGAGGAGCTGAACTTTACCCTCCTCTGCTATCACTGCACACAGGCAGGGTCGCCTACAGAGCAGCGCTAGTAGCTGTTAAAGAAGTAGTGCTGTTTTTATTTGAGGGTCCCATTTCATAGGAAAGATTTCAACCACCACCCCTTGTATGTGTAAGTTCCAAGGGTTAAGATGACACTCAAAAATTAGGGGTAGGGGTAAAAAGAAGAAATGGAATTGGACTAAAGTGTAAGGGATTAAGAGAGATTGGAAAATGGTCATGTAAAAATGAATTTTGATTGGCTTTTGTACACAAAACCACACAAACACTATAACGGGACCTTAGAGGGGGTAAAAAAATAAAATACAGGATAAAGAAGAATATGGGCTCTTTACATGTAAACAACCTTCATGAGAAAAGCATGATCACTTTCGTCCATTTCAAGCCTACTAACCAGTACACCAGCATACCTGACTGGTCAATGTAGAAGAAGACTGCCAGTACAAACTCTTGGAAGACTGGCGACAAGAAGGAGAATGTGGCATCAGGAGAAGAGACGTCGTCTCCGCTGATACGCATGAAAGCTGAAAGGACAGGGGAGCCCAGAAAGGGCTGCAGGCCGCAGGCGATGACCTCAGCGGTGGAGCAGTGTGCATGCGCCTGGGAGTTGCAGTGGTCCGCGAGTTTGCCCAGACCACAGAGAAGCTGCTTGCCTGCCTCCACATTCACCCTGTGTTCCCGCAGCAGTGTGTGCGTGACTGCACAGCACAGCTCAGTCAGCGTCTCCGGCACACGCTCCTTACACTCATTGCACAGTGTCCAGCAGAAGGCAGGACACCTGAACAGCTTGGCCACGCCCACCGCTTGCTCGCAGCGATGGAGAACCTGCTCTCCTTCAGCCTCGTTGTTGAAAAACCGCTGGAAGAAGCTTCTCCTCTGAGCCTTGGAGAAGCCTAGTAGGTGAACACACTGCAAAGACTCCAGCAGGACAGCTTCTCTACAGGTTAGGAGGACTGAGGCTCCAGGCAGCAGAGAACCCTCCAGCAGACTGTGCAGCAGCACAGCACCCCCTGCTGGCTGCTGTGGGTCACTCACCCGTGTGTCGGATAGTGGAAATTCAGAGAAAAGGTCCTGAAAGTGGTCCAGCCCGTCCACCACCAGGAACAGCGACTGAGGCCTCTGCAGGGCAGACGCGAGAGCCTTGGCCGAGAGGTGTGCATGTGTGCTCAGCAGCAAGCTCTCCAGACTCTGTTCGCTTGTGCAGAGCGTTCTGACGCACACCGGCAGCAGAAGTGCGTAGTGCTGCAAACGGGAGTCCGTGGCCCACTCCCAAATGAGCTGCTGGACCGCTGTGGTCTTCCCCACCCCAACTCCTCCACACAGCTGGACCTTACTTCCCCCATGGCCTGCTGCAAACTCTCGAGAGATCACAGCATCCAACGTCTCCCACGCTTCACTCTCCTCCAGGCCGGCCTCCTCGCTCACACTGGCGGATAGAGGGGTGTAGCACTTGTTTACAATGACCTCTTTGACGGACTGACCACCTAAAAGAGAGCTGGCCTGCGTCGAGTTCAGCACACCGTTTCTCAAGGCCTCCTTATGCAACTTCTGCACATCTGCCAAGAAAGAAAGGGGGAAAACAAGAGGGAACCGGTCTTGAGAAACTATTTTCAACATGCAGATGGTTTTGACACAGAGGTGGAAACATTTCAACGCAAGTTAAACTCAGTGGTGTAACTACAATCTTACGAGGCCCAGTGCAGTAATAATCTACGAAAAGTGAAAAAAAATGCTTAGGATAAGTTTCCCAATTAGGGATTAAGGCTAGTTCTGGGCTACATTTTCCTTTTTCAGTGCTGTGTAGTCAGGACTAGACTTAATCCCTGTTCAGGAGACCAACCCTGTATGTCCAAAAGTTTGCAAATACCTGTGTCTTATGAAAATAAGGGTATTTAGGGGAAAATTCACAGATTTTTCAATAATCTGCAAAATTTAGTGAATAAGATGTCAACAAAATGAATAGAAAAGGGTCATTTGTTTTGATAGAATGTGACAGAATAAACTATTTTGAGATCACGGTGTTTCTCTCTCTCTCTCTCTCTCTCTCTATAGGGGTCTTGTTGAATGAAAAGAACTACATGTTTGGTTTGGCCTGTCCAAACATTTGTCTGACGTTAAACCGCCGCTGTCCCTCTTTATAAGCTTGGCCTTGGGAATGGTGACCATAGGCTCACGTGCGGCTGCTCCAGAGTGTCCAAATCTATTGGTTTGTGCTTTTCTTTTCTATGCACTGCTGTTAGTACAACTTAGACTGTAATCTGCAGCAGGAATGCATGCTTTGGAGACCAGCTACAGTATATATATATATATATATATATATACACATACACATACATACATACATACACACACACCACACACACACACACATATATATATATATAGAGAGAGAGAGAGAGAGAGAGAGAGAGAGAGAATCAGAGAGAGAGAGAGAGGGAGGAATAGTGCATGGTCCTACCATAAGGAATGTCAGGAATGTCTGTGGTGCTGTTGTCCATATCTGTCTGCGTGGTCAGAAATCTCTGCTGACTGTCTGAAGGTTCGGGTGTGTGTTAAATAAACTCCTCCAGCCGTCTGTGAGGAGCAGGAAGCACTTCGCTTCCTAATACAGTTCTCTACCTGGCCACAGTCCAAACCCCTCCTAACATCGGAGAACCTGCTCAGTTCTACACTAAAACCCCACGACCTTCCTTACATTTACACTCTGGTTCTGAGTTGAAGAGCCTCAGCAGCATCACAGCTGCTAAAAGAGCCCAAACTATCTCCTACATTTCCCAGCTGTTACTCGTCACTCGTGTCCCGTTTCAGTAAAGAGCGGTTTGCTGCCCTCTGCAGGTGGACATAAGTAAACGCGGTTTGGTTCCATTAAAGGGCCCATACCACACAGTTTTCTTGCATGTTATTTTTTTCCTCCTGAGGTCAACGTGTAACGTTTTAGTGTGTTTTTTTGTCTTAATTCATCTCTACGTGCCCTTTTTCAGACTTCTCTGTTACTCAGAATTAAACAGGCTGTTTTTTGTTACTGTGCCTTTAAGACTGATGTGCTAATGCTGAGCAGTTAGGTCTGTAACGCCAGGGTGAGTGGGCGGGGCTAAACTGCTGTTGGCTAAATAGGCTGGTATATGTAAATTGTTTGTCTTTTTCATAGTCGTCAATTCAAAATGAGCTGTTTTTGCAGCTTAGTTTCCACACATAGTCTGTATGGAGTGAATGGTTTGCCTTAAATCTTCAATAATCAGTTTATTCTATCAAAAGAATGACCTCTTTTTAGTGATTTTCACTTAGTTTCTTTAAATAATGATTTTTTTTCTTCATATTTTGGCTTATTTCTTAATATTTCAAGTAGTTATGTCAAGAAATTCTAATGTTCTATGTCAAAACATTGGGTTGCTTCACATTTAACAAAAAATCTAAATTTAGTGCTTTTTAACACAGTTAGAAAATGTTTATATGTGTATGTACTTATACATTTCAGCTTGTCTCATTCAGTCTTCACTACTTCACTTTTAATACATTCTACATAATTTTGTATAACTGAAGAAACGTCTGCATCACTTCCAGACAAATCAACATCAAATATAAACCCACACAGCGGTGTTCACACGTGGTGAGCAATTTTTTCTTAATTTTTTTTTTTTAACTCTGTAAAAATGATTCATGCTTAATAACCTTTAATTAATGTTCATTTGAATGAACAACAATTAAATATCAGAATATCCTAATTTTATATTAATGCTGGTAACATTTTTCTGAGGACATTTTCTCAGGACGTTCGCCAGCTTTTTGTTCGACTTTTCCCGTTCCACCTTAAGTGGTGCAGCAGTCACTGCTGCGCCATTTAAGGTGGAACGGGGAAATTAGAACAAGCAGCCGGCGAAAAAGAAGCTGACTTCAGCTTCATGGAGGGTTTAAAGGCCTGATATGAGGAGGTTTCTCTATTTCCGCTGAACAGCTGAGCAACATTAACTTATTTCTGCTGTTTCACAGAACCGACAGGTCAGTATTTTGTCTCGTTTGCTAATGTTTGTGATAGCTAGTCACAGCTGCTGCACCATTTAAGGTGGAACGGGAGAATTCAAACAAGAAGCTGCGAAAAAAGAAGCTGAATTCAGCCTCGTAGTTTTAACACTGGTAGTATTTTTGATATAGAGTTTTAGCGCATTAAAATATCCTACCTAGAGGTTTTATTTACGGTTATACCCGTAAAAATGCGCTACAGTAGAACATTTTGATAAGGTAGCACAGCTCGTCAGACCACCGCCACAGCCCACCTTAGTTTTGTGTAGCTTAGTGACATCAAATTGATGCGCAGTAGCTTTAGCTCACATGTAGCATATTAGTATTATAGCTCTCTATGACCTCTGTAGTCGTGCGTCATTCTGTAGTCCTCGTTATGCCCATATTAGGAACTCCGGGTCTGAGCTCAACAGAATGATGGGAATGATGGCCTCTATCGCCCCCTGTGTTAAATAGTAATGTTCAGAACCCGATACTTTTTGTCCTGTGTACATTTTTCTCCCGAATACCAACTGGATTATCCGAATTATGAGGTCGCATTAAAGTTTCTATAAGGAAAAAAAAGTCATGTTTCACTTTAAAAATACATTTGACTTTTGACTCATACACTGCCTGGCCAAAAAAAGGTCACACACTAATATTTCATTGGGCTGCCTTTAGCTTTGATTACGGCATGTATTCGCTGTGGCATCGTTTCCACAAGCTTCTGCAATGTCACAACATTTATTTCTGTCCAGAGTTGCATTAATATTTCCCCAAGATCTTGTATTGATGATGGGAGATTTGGACCACTGCGCAAAGTCTTCTCCACCACATCCCAAAGATTCAGGTCTGGACTCTGTGGTGGCCAATCCATGTGTGAAAATGACGTCTCATGCTCCCTGAACCACTCTTTCACAATTTGAGCCCGATGAATCCTGGCATTGTCATCTTGGAATATGCCCGTGCCATCAGGGAAGAAAACATCCATTGATGGAATAACCTGGTCGTTCAGTATATTCAGGTAGTCAGCTGACCTCATTCTTTGAGCACATAACGTTGCTGAACCTAGACCTGACCAACTGCAGCAACCCCAGATCACAGCACTGCCCCACAGTACGGTAGGCACTAGGCATGATGATGGTGCATCACTTCAGCCGCCTCTCTTCTTACCCTGACGTGCCCATCACTCTGGAACAGGGTATATCTAGACTCATCAGACCACATGACCTTCTTCCATTGCTCCAGAGTCCAATCTTTATGCTCCCTAGCAAATTGAAGCCGTTTTTGCCGGTTAGCCTCACTGATAAGTGGTTTTCTTAAGGCTGTACAGCTGTTTAGTCCCAATCCCTTGAGTTCCCTTCGCATTGTTCATGTGGAAGTGCTCTTACTTTCACTATTAAACACATCCCTGAGTTCTACTGTTGTTTTTCTATGATTTGATTCCACCAAACGTTTAAGTGATCGCCGATCACGATCATTCAGGATTTTTTTCTGACCACATTCCTTCCTCGAAGATGATGTTTCCCCACTGTCCTTCCACTTTTTAGTAATGCGTTGGGCAGTTCTTAACCCGATTTTAGTAGTTTCAGCAATCTCCTTAGATGTTTTCTCTGCTTGATGCATGCCGATAATTTGACCCTTCTGAAACAGATTAACATCTTTTCCACGACCACAGGATGTGTCTTTTGACATGGATGTTTAACAAATGAGAAGCTACTCACTGCATCAGTTAGGGTTAAATAACTTGTTGCCAGCTGAAACATAATGCAGTAATTATCCAATGGGAGGCTCTTACCTATTTGTTTAGTTAAATCCAGATGGTGACCTTTTTTTTTGTCCAGGCAGTTTATATTCTTGAGTACATTTAAATGTAGTTATTTTTCACTTCTACTTTTACCTTTTTGTCTCCATAGTTCCACTTTCAGTTAAGATGTTGACGCAGAACAGAGCCCCAGCGTTCACTGCAGTACAGTTTTGCTGTACTTTCTCCATCTCTGCTGATGAATTTAGAGATTCAGAGTTAACCAGTTAGAAGTTTTACTTCCATCCACCACAAGAGGGCAGTGTTTAACAAGCTCACTCAACCAGCCCCGGCTGATTCACTGGGCACACATTAAGCTTTACTTACTTTATTTTTAATGTGTGGCTGGTGATAAGCCTCCCTACGCAAACATTTCAGATACAGAGTTTGCTTTAAAGAAAATCCACCCATAAAAAGATTCAGCAGCTTGTACAAGCTTTCCCAAAGGCAAACACTGTCCCTGTTTAAACCTGAAATAAAGAAAAAGTGTGTGGTTATCACTTCCCCCCTGTATTATATATCAAGACGTTTCTTTTTAAGAAATAGTTTATTTTTAAATACTGAACAGCAGCACTACTAATACATGGAGGTTTTAAAGCAATACTTCACCCAGAAACACTATCATGACGAATGTATGACAACTAGCGGAAATCATTGGCATGAAATGATTTAATATGGAAGACAGAAACACAAATCAGCATCACACATGAATGCACACTTGCCAGACTACCTACACAGGTAGGTAGACAAATTAACCAGCCAAAATCAAGAAAAGTCTTCTCTGCAGCAAATGGATGCATTTGTCCACTGAAAGTGACTGAATCTTTCCAGATCTTCATTAAGATCCGTGATTCATCAATACTGATGTAAAGATAAAGATATTAAAGATTCTCAGAAGACAGACAGCTTTAAAAATGTATGAGCCGAAAGAAAAATGACTGAAATTAAACGCTGCAGTGAAGAAGCAGAAAAAAGGCCCAACATTACAAAGTTACCAAGCCAATGTTCTCCTATAAAAACCTTTATACTAAAACCTCACCGCTCTGGATACCAAGTGGAAATCAAGCTTGAGAAGCAGCTGCAAGCGAGTCCTGTTCTGGGTCAGACAGATACTCCAATAGTGCTTTTCTTCAGCTGCGAGTGTAAAAAAAAAAGTAGCAGCGGTTTAAAAGCCATAGGTAGTCCTGTTCAGAAACAGTAAAGCCTGCTTTGTGTGCTTTTAAACTCCCTTTCAGAGACTTCAAAGTGCTGCCAAAGAAACATGTACTACACTTTTATAATCCACTGAACATGCTGTCTTTGATATCAGCAACAGATTTTTTATACTGCACATCAGCTCAGTGCACACGCACCTTGTTTCCTCCAAACACACCTAACATCATAAGCCAAAATGCAAAGACACCGCACGTCTCCTTTAACAGCTGCTGCTCTTAAATATATCTTCAGAAATGGAGAAAAATAGAACAAACAGATTTCAGAGGAGATGCGTGTGGTGAAGAAAGCTCCTGAGTGAAGAGCCTCAGTCTGTGCTTCACCAAACATCTAACAGTAAAGGAAACTCGGGTTTGCGTGTGCAAAGAAATCCCATCCTGTTTGTTTCAGATGAAGTAGACTACTAAATACACATAGTATACAAATAAACATGCAAACAAACAGACAAAAAATAAGACTGAGAGCGACAAAAGAGAGCAAATATCAGTATCTTCAGCTCATCTTGGAGCTCCTACACTAGGATGACTAACAGATTTGGGAGTTAAGCTGCCATCGGACTCAGGATCCCAAGTAAAATAGTCACATCTGTTTAGCTTGAATGCAGATATATGTTGTTCCAACTGTTATTTCTCTGACTTCAGATTCCATGGACTGGGAAAAAAAACTGGCATGGCATGCTAGCACAAGAGCTTTCTGCTGAGGAAAAGCCTCTGGGAACTAAAAAAGTACATGTTTATCATTTCTGGTTCATTTTTATTTTATGCCATCATCAGGTTTGCCTATA